ATGTAGAATTGGTATTAATTCTTCTTTAAACATTTGGTAGAATTCTGCAGCAAAACCATCAGGATTTGGAGATCTTTTTCAGAAGCTTTTTGAGTTTCGTTTTTTCAGTATTCCTAAAGCTGTTCAGATGACCTGCTTCATGCTGGGTGAGTCGGGGCAGTTTGTGTTGCTGTTGGAATGGCCCGTCCAAGTTGCCAAGCAAGTGTGTACGTTCCCATAGTAGCCCCTGAGTGCTTCTTGGTGTCTGCAGGTCTGCGATGGTTGTTCCCTTCATACTGGTCAGTGTCTGTGTTTGCTGAGGTTCTTCAGTGCTGGTTCAGAGACCCAGCTTCTTATTTCACTGGTTTTTCTCTCCTCTTCCATTTTCAGTTGTTTTGATTTCTGCTCTCATCTTTATTATTGTTTTTCCTCTCCTTTTTCTAGGAGCTTGTGATAGCACCTTAGATGACTGACTAGACACTTCTCCACTGTCTGCATTTACTATAAATGGCCCCCTCAGAACTGCTTCTACCGCCCACATACTGGGATATGTTGTACTTTCATTTTCATTCACTTCCACTTATTTTTTTTATATCCCTTCAGACTTCCTCTTTGACCCAGGGACTATTTAGAGGGTATTGTTTGGTTTCCAAGAACTGGGAGATCTTTCTTTACCTTTGTGTTCTTGGTTTCTAGCTTGACTCTATTGTGGTTGGAGAGAGTGCTCTGTACAATCTCAGTTCTGCTCAATTGGTTGAGTTTTGAATTTTTTTTAGTGGCCCAGTGTATTTTCTGTCTCAGCATAATTTCCATGGACACTTCAGTGTAATGTGCATTCTGTTGTTGGGTGAAGAGTCCTATGTTCTTGCCAATTTTCTGTCTAGTTTTTCAGCCAGTCATTGAGAGGATGGTGCTGAATCTCACCTGCAGCTGTGGGCATGTCTGCTTCTCCTTTGAGTCTTACCAGTTCTGGGCTCACGGGTGTTGCGGCTCTGTCGTTGGGTGTGTGGGCGTTTAGGATTGTGTGTCTCCTAAGTGGGCTGTCCCTTTTCTCATTGTATGATGTGCCTTTCTGGGTCTGATCATTTTCTTTGCTCTGATGTCTGCTTTATCTGTAAATAACAGCCACTTCTGCTTCTGTTTGATTCTGTTTACGTGCCTTCCTCCATCTCTTCCCTTTCAGTCTGCCTGTGTTGTCATTGGGTTTGGGTGAAGTTCTTGTGGATGAGCATGGGGTTGGTTCCTGTCCACTCTGCCAGTCTTATAATTGGTATATTTAGATGATTTGTATGTAATGTAATTGTTGATATGTTAGGGCTTAAGTCTACCACTTTATTCTTTATTTTTTGTCCGTCCTTTTTCTCATTTCTCTGCTTTCTTTTTCCTGACTTCTTGTGGATTTTTAAGCCTATATTTTTGAGTTGCGTTTTTATTTATACATCGTATTTTCGGGCATATCTCTGTCCCTTTAGCCTTTTGTAGTGGTTGTGTGGGTGTGACATTGTGTGCACACATCTGCACCATCTGCTGGTGTCGTCATTCTGCCAGTCCGGAAGGCACCTTTAACTTCTCTCCACCCTCTCCATTGAACATGCAGTGGCCCTGTTCCCTACTTGGTGTTTAGAACCACAGTGGCCAGTGTTGGGAAAGCTGCTCCGACCGTCAGACATGATTCAGAAGAACTGAGAGGAGCAGGGACGTGTTTTACTTCCTGGTGTTCTTTCCTCCTCCTTGACCAGCGTTCCTTCTGCTGAGAGCACATGCTGTAGCCACCCATTTAGGGTCACAGATTCTCTTACTCCCTTCATCCGAGCATGGCTCAGTTCTCCCAGAAGATACTATCACTGGGTGTAGGTTTCTGGGGAGACCGTTCTTTCAGCTCTGAGGAGTGAGGCACCCCTTTCTCCTGGCTCTGGGCTTCTGCTGAGAAATCTTGCTGTTTGAGTTGTTTTCCCCCTGGGTGTCATTTTACTGTGGCTGCTTCTGAGACTTTTTCATTTTCAGAGGCTTAATTGACATATTTTGGGTTCCTTTGGATTCCTTGAGTTTGTGGGTGTGAGCCTTCTGCGTGCTTGGGGATGCTCGGCCACGTCTCACAGCTGCCCTCTTCCTGCTCTGACTTCCGTGGCCTGTCCACAGGACGTGCCGAGCGTGACGCATTCTGTGATGGGGTGACACGCCCCACCGCTTTCTTCACTCTCCCTGGTCGCTGTTCTCTCTCCTCTTTAGACTGGTTGATTTCTTCCATTCTGTCTGCAAGGTAGCTGGTCCCCGTCTCTGGCTCTGCCACGGAGCCGTCCACTGGGGCTTTTAAATCCTCACCCAACGGTACGTTTTGTTTTGTTGGTTTTTTATTGTTGTTGTTTTTAATCCTCGCCCGAGGATATTTTTTCATGTTTCTTCAGATGGAGTGGGAGGGAGAGAGAGAGAAACATCATGTGAGAGAGACACACTGGTCCTGCACAACCTCGATCAGGGCATGGACCGAACCTTGACTGAGACACGTGCCCTTGACCAGAACCAAACCTGCAACTCTGGTCCGAGGTCCAACATTTTAACCGCTGAGCCGAGCCAGCCAGAGCTGTTCTGTTTTTTTTGTTTTTTTTTGTTTTTTTTTATCCTCACCCGAGGACATTTTTCCATTTTTTTTTGTTCAGGTAGAGTGGGAGGGAGAGAGAGGAACAGAGAGAAAGAGAGAGAGAAACATCGATGTGAAAGGAACACATCGAGTGGCTGCCACCTGCACAACCGACCAGGGCCGGGGACAAACCGCAACCAAGGCACATGCCCTTAGCGGGAACTGAACCCAGGTCTCTCAGGACCGCAGGCCGATGCTCTAACCGCTGAACCAAACCGGCCAGGGCTGTTCTGTTTTTTTTATTTCTTTTCTGAGAGAAACATCGATCAGTTGCCTCCCATTCACACCCCAATGGGGATTGAACCCACAACCTTTTGGTACATGGGACATTGCTCCAGCCATCTGAGCCACCTAGCCAGGGCCTATTCACTGAATTTTAATTTGGATTATTATATTTCGCCGGTTCAGAATTTCCCATTTGGTCCTTTGTATCTTCAGTTTTTTGCAGACTTTCTGTTGTTTTTCTGCGTCTCAATCTTTTCTGTTTGTCTCTGTCACATTCTAATTGCTCCTGAAGCCATGTGGCGATGGACTCATGAGAATCTAGTCAGGTAATTCCAACATCTGTGTCCCTTTGGTATCTGGTGATGGTCTTTCCAATCTGAGGTCGTCCTGGTTCTCGTTTGAGTGATTGTTCTTTAAAACCAGAGCATTTGGTGTCAGGAGACGTGAGTCTCACTGTCTCCGCCACAGCCGTCTCCTCTGCGCACACTCTGCTGGGGGGGGGAGTGGGAGGCACAGCACCTTCCCGAGGGGTGAAAACTGGGTCTTCTCTGGAGCCGCGGAGGCCACAGGTTGGAGTGCCCTGTGGGGAGAGGGGCGTGGGGCTGCGGGGTGCTCTGGTCCACGGTGGGGCTGCCCTCTCCTGGTCCTGTCGTGAGAGCAGCGGTAGTGAAGCTTGTTTGTTGCCCAGGCTGCAGGCTCATGGCTCCAGGGTGGCTCCAGGTCAAGGACGTGGGAGCCCAGGAGGAAACCAGGACCACCAGCTGGTTGGCCTCCCTCCCCACCTTTCAGAGTCATCTGACGGATGATGTCTGGGGGGTTGGTAACACTTAGTGGGCAATAGGAAGGAGAGAGTATTCCCCACTTCCCGGAATACAACCCTAAGGATTTGATTACTCACAAGACCCAAGGACTCAGGAGTGGGGCCCGCGGTGTGAGGCTCAGAAGGACCGGCTCAGGGTAGAAGTGCAGACCGCGGGCACAGCCAGGCCGCTGCCCCTTGTGCTGGAAGGCCATGGTGCCAGCTGCCCACAGTGCACGGCACTGCTGCCCTGAGGCCTGCTGAGCCCTGCGGGCGCCCTCAGTGAGGAGCAGTGCCCCGGTGACCCCGTGTTCCTCCGTGGGCCCCGAGAGCTGGGCCGTGAGTGGCCAGAGCTGTGCAGACCCAGGTCCCCGTGGCTGCCCTCACTCTGACAGGGCGACAGTGGGAACAGTGCCGAGCCCCCGAGCCACCTTCCCACACCACGGCAGGAATGAAGCCCTCCCCTGGGGTTTGAGAAACGTAGACTTTGCTTAGCATTAGATAGATAAGGCTGTAGCTTAAAGGGGAGCGCCGGGGATGCCCAACCACGCAGCGTAAGCCCGTTCTGGGACCGGAGCCTGGAAAACTGCATTTTTACTAGTCTCCGGGGGGCTCAGATACACAGCTGTGTTTACTGGTGACCCCGGGCACCCAGGCCAGGAAACGCCTCTGTCAGGTGGGTGGGAGCCCGCTCTGCAGTGCCCCCAACAGTTCTCCAAGTCTCTGCCCTCCCTCACCCCGCCCAGCTAGTGAGCCCTCGGCAGGAGTGAGAACTGGACCGGAGGGTGGGTCCAGGATGCGGGCGCCGCACTCCCAGGGAGGGGACGGCTGTGTGGCCTCGCTGTGCTGCCCGCTGCGCTCCGCAGACCAATCCACTTCTTGGCGACTGTCCCTCCCTTCTCAGTCTCCCAGCTCCCTGTCACTCACCAACACGAGTGTTACCACAGCCCAGACAGGTGACCTCTTCTGTACAGTTCCTCGCTTTCTGCTTGAAGTCCCTCCTGAACTCTTTCATTTGCTTTCTGATTGACTTCCCCAGTGCCTTTTCAAAACAAATTGATTGTTGTCTTTGGGACTTTGAAACACACTTTTTCTCTAAGTTATGAATAATTGGTGTACTGGACTAATATATGCATATATGAATTTCATTCTTATTTACCTGTGACACCCAGTAATATTCTCAGCTTCTGTTTGTTGCTAAGTTTGTGTTTTCTAGCTATAAAATATCATTTATATTAATATATATTAGAGGTTTTTATGTTTTTTTTCTCTTCTCTTTTCTCTCCCCTGGGGAGTCTGTTCCCCTTTCCATAAACTGTGGTCCCCGTGTGGCTCTGCCCGTCTCTCCTCGCCCCGCAGGGTTCTATGGCCTGGACGAGTCCGACCTGGACAAGGTCTTCCACCTGCCGACCACCACGTTCATCGGCGGGCAGGAGTCGGCGCTCCCTCTGCGGGAGATCATCCGGCGGCTGGAGGTGAGGGCGCCCCGCTCTCCAGGGAAAGCCCGTGCTGGCAGAGGCCTCCTCCCTGGTTGGGTTTTTCTTGGGCCTGTGTATTTTTTAAACATAAGGGAAAGAGTTGTTTTGTTTTGTTTTTTGCTATTTTGTAGGTAAAAAATCTATGGTTTTTATTTTTGTAACCAACCACAGAAAGTAGAAAACAGTCTGTGGGTTCCAGTCCCAGTGGGAGTTTCTCTCAGACGTTGAGGTCCCAGTGCGCACACCTGAGCCTCAGCTGCCTGGCGGTGCCCTGTGCAGACAGTGGTCTGCTCATTCACCCCCCTGGTTTTCTTCTCCCCTCTGTGGACGTGGGCACTGAGCCTGCAGGGCACCCTCGACATGCCCACGCGCACGCACCGCGGACCTGGGCACAGCGCCGCAGCTCTGGTGTCAAGGGGCTGCTGGGTATGAGCTATGCCCGCGCTGACATGCCTGTCTGTGGACAGATGGCCTACTGCCAGCACATCGGGGTGGAGTTCATGTTCATCAACGACCTGGAGCAGTGCCAGTGGATCCGGCAGAAGTTCGAGACGCCTGGGGTCATGCAGTTCACTAACGAGGAGAAGCGCACCTTGCTGGCCAGGCTCGTGAGGTCCACCAGGTGGGCTGCGCTCCTAGCCGGGTATGGGGGGCGTGGCCAGCCTGTCAGGAGCCAGGATGGCCCTGCGACTGCTCTTCAGGGCGGCTTGGCTCCCCATCAGGTTCGAGGAGTTCTTGCAGCGCAAGTGGTCGTCTGAGAAGCGCTTTGGTCTGGAAGGCTGCGAGGTGCTGATCCCGGCCCTCAAGACCATCATCGACAAGTCGAGTGAGAACGGCGTGGACTACGTGATCATGGGGATGCCGCACAGGTACCCGCCTGGCCGCCCTGCCACCCCTGCCGCAGGGCGACTGTCACCCAGGCCCTCGCTGCAGGCAGTCATGCCTGAGGCCACAGGTGGTCTCAGACGGGCGTGTTGGCCTCGTGCTGCATCTCATAAAAGCTAAAACCGAGTGCCCTTGTTGGGGTCACAGCAGAGGGAGGGAACCTGAGGGAGGGCTGCTCAGTGATAGCTCTGGTCTTGGCGCCTCTCGGGCAGCAGACCAAGGTGCTGCCTGTGCCCTGGAGGAGGAAGGGGCGCCCGGGGCACCCTTGGGCCCTGCTGACCCCCACATGTCCCAGGGGGCGGCTGAACGTGCTGGCGAACGTCATCAGGAAGGAGCTGGAGCAGATTTTCTGTCAGTTTGACTCAAAGCTGGAGGCTGCCGATGAGGTGAGATGCTGTTTCCTGCAGAAGCTCTGTGTCCACAGCCACACAGCAGCCCTGGCCCCGCTGTCTCCGCGGAGACTTGCAGGGGCCAGAACCTTCCCCACTGCTCACAAAGCAGGCGGCCAGAACTGGCCTCTGGGAGGTAGGGGTGGCCGCCTGGCCCGCGGCCCAGCAGTCCTGTGCCCTGGGAAGACCCTGCCCTCGCCTCCAAGAGGGGGTTCTGGGAACGGGGGGCACAGCTGGGCTGCCGCATGCTGCCAGGACCGAGCCTCACTGCTTGTCCTCAGGGTTCCGGGGACGTGAAGTACCACCTGGGCATGTATCACCGGCGGATCAACCGTGTGACTGACAGGAACATCACCCTGTCGCTGGTGGCGAACCCTTCCCACCTCGAGGCCGCCGACCCTGTGGTGATGGGCAAGACCAAAGCTGAGCAGTTTTACTGTGGAGACACCGAGGGGAAGAAGGTAAGGTCACGGGCCAGGGCGGCTCACAGTCCTAGGCAGGCTCCCACCTCTGTCTGGACCTCAGCGGAGCCCTGTGAGTGGGCCTGGGAAGGCAGTGGGCTGTCTGCTCGCACGGCCTCCCTGTCTGCAGGAGCCTGTCCTGCAGCGTCGTGCTGGGCAGAGGCGCTTTCACTGAGCAGGTGGGGAGTCTTCCCAGGTGTGGTGAGCTGGGGGGTGCTGTGAGCAGACGGGCCCTGTGAAGCCGGGTTCCAGGTGTCAGTGTGAGCGCCAGCCGGGCACAGGCTGGTCACTGGCTGTGTGCAAACCCTCACAGACTGACCGCTGCCACGTGCAGCGGGTCACAGCCTCGAAGCCACACAGGCAGGAATGCCACGCTTGTCGGTGTTGGTGTGTGTGCTGGGGGTGCGAAGTCAGCGGCACCAATCTGCTTCCAGCTCCCACGTTCCCCAGAAAGAAAGCTGTAGAGCAGAAGGCAGGGGTGCATTGTGGGGTGAGCCTCAGCAGGGCAGTGGGCGAGCTGTGTGCGGAGTCAGGGTGAGGGGAGTTCGTCGCCCTCGTCTGTGGAGCAGGAGTTGTCTGACTGAAGAGCAGGAGTGGCGGGTGGGCAGGAAGGGAGTTCTCTGCAGCGGAAGATGGGGAGGGTGGAGGGTCAGACTCGAGGTGGAGCCCAGAGTCAGGGTGCAGGGTCTGACTGCAAACACCAGGAGTCTGCTGGCCCTGGGCTTGGACCACCAGAAGGAGAGAAGCTGCTATTGGAGGTGATGGGGTTCGGGCCCGGGCAGCCTTGGAAGCAGGACTTGGCTCCTGCACTGACAGACACCTGCTGTCAGAGTGTGTCTGCAGGGAGGGTGTCAGGCTTGGGGCCTGGACGGTGCCACAGAAGCAGAGCCAGGCAGCTGCCTCTTGTGCAGTCCCCAGGGCACTGCTGACACGGTGGCTGGGGACACTGGTATTGTTCACCAGTTGTCCAGCATTCCCACTGTCCTTGGCCAGACACTAGGGGCTGGGGAAGGAGCAGGGTTGCAGAAAGCTTTGTGTGACGTGAATTACAGACAACAGTCACTCACTTAGAATGCTAGAAACATCCTGAGGACTGAAATGAACTTCCAAATGATTGCACCCGTGGTCCTGTTGGGGGGTGCAGGCCAGGAGAGGCTGATTAGCCCTGTGTGGTCATAGGCATTTGTTCTAGGAGTGGTCCTGTCCATGTGTAATTCACACAGCCCGTCCCTCAGACCCCAGCCCACCCTCTGAGCCGCTCCAACCCTCACCCCTCCTCAGCCATGGGCCCAGATTCTTCTAGACCTTCACACCTGTTCGCCTTGCGACTCCTCTAAAAACCACAGGCAGCTGTCTGATGTCTGTTAAATTCAGAATTTAGGGAATATGTGCTGTGACCAGGAGCACTTGACAAGAAGGGTATGGTTTCTGTCCATGTAGCTGAGGTTGTTCACTGAGCTGGTACAGAACCGAGCCCGAGGCCCTGGGGTGCTGTGTGGGCAAGCAGCTTCCTGTGCCGCAGGGAGCCTCACATGGGTCCAGAGGGGCCACCAGGGGCTGTCGGGCACAAGGACCACCTAGAGAGGGAACCTCCGGACAGTCAGGCATGGGTGCAGTCTGGCTTCACCAGAAGATTAAGAGAAACAGTGTGGCTCTGGCCGGTTTGGGTCAGTGGTTAGAGCGTCAGGCTGCAGTCGGCAGAGAAACAGTGTGACGAGAGCGGAGTGAGCCCTGTAGTGTGCGACCAGCGTGGCGGAGGAAGGCCAGGCTGGGCAGCAGAGGCTGCAGGGAGGACACCGAGCAACCCCGGTGACTTTCCTACCCCATGGCAACTTGCCTGGGACCGGCAGAGCTGCGCCCTCTGGGGAGGCCCCTGTGCAGATCCAGCACCGTGTCCACCATCTGCCTGTCCTAGTCACGTCCCCGCATGGGCTTTGCCCAGGCCATGTCCGGGACCACATGATGCGATCACTTAGACCTGTTGGTGACATCGGGGTCCATGAGCATGTGTTAGTACAAATGAGTGACCGGTGATAGGAGAGGATCTTCCGGGACCCTGAGGATAGGCGTGTGGGAGCTGCTGAGAGACGGGATGCAGAGGTGCCCCCGTGCTCTGCCACTGTTCTCAGTACCAAGGAGCCCCATGGAGTTTGTAGGGAGAGACAGAGGCAGCTACCTGTCCAGGTGATCAAAGCTGCACTGGCGTGGGACAGGCCAGCACAGGCGGGCGTGTCTTGGGTGGAGTGCGCCATTGCTGAGTCTGGTCACGAGGTGCCATCGGAGCTAAGACATGAGGGCAGCCAGAACCTGAACCCGCGCCACCGAGGCTGTGGCCGCAGTGCTCCCTGGGGGGTCCCCTGTGGTGTGCTCAGGCAGTGGGCATCTCCCACTGGCAGGCCGGGGCCCAGGAGGGCCTGGGGCTCTTTGTGCCCTAACTTTGGAATGATCTCAGGAAATGTTTTTTGAGCCCTGCTTGTTTTGCTCAGTGGTTAGAGCATCGGCTGTCAGACCGAAAGAGTTCAATTCCCAGTCAAGGGCGTGTACCTCGGTTGTAGGTTCAGTCCCTAACCCTTGTCAGGGTTGTGCAGGAGGCAACCAATCAATGTGTCTCTCACATCAATGTTTCTCTTTCTTTCTCTCCCTCCCTTTCTCCTTTCTGCTCCATCTAAAAATCATTGGGAAAGTACCCTCGAATAGAATTTAAAGAAGACATTTTTTTAAAGTGGATTGTACCCAGCTGGTGTGGCTCAGTGGCTGAGCCTCGACCCTGCACCACGAGATCACTGGTTCGATTCCCAATCAGGGCACATGCAGTGGGGACATGCGGGCCAATCGATGTTCTCGCTCATCAGTGTTTCTCTCTCCCTCTCCCTTCCTCTCTCTCTAAAAATCAATAAAGTAAAAAAATAAAAGTGGACTGTGACTCAGTCTCACTGCCTATGGGCAGGTGGCCAGGCTGCTTCACCTGGTCCTTGCACGTCTGCAGGTCATGTCCATCCTCCTGCACGGGGACGCTGCGTTTGCCGGCCAGGGCATCGTGTACGAGACCTTCCACCTGAGCGACCTGCCATCCTACACAACTCATGGCACAGTCCACGTGGTCGTCAACAACCAGGTAGCCAGAGAGAAGGCCAAGGAGGCCACGGCGTCCGGTTTCTAATCAACGTAGCCGTGCCCCCCCCGCCTTTGTCCCCACCTCCAGGCTGCCCTGGTCACGCCTGTGATCTTTCCCCACCCCGGCCCCCACTGGCCCCCCATTCCCATGCTCAGCAGTGTGTCCCTTGCAGATCGGCTTTACCACAGACCCTCGAATGGCCCGTTCTTCACCCTACCCCACCGATGTGGCCCGTGTCGTGAACGCCCCCATTTTCCACGTGAACTCTGATGACCCAGAGGCCGTCATGTACGTGTGCAAGGTGGCCGCGGAGTGGAGGAGCACCTTCCACAAGGACGTGGTGGTGGACCTGGTGAGTGCCCTGGCCTGTTCTGGAGAGGCCGCAGCTCCGGCTGTGTGTGCAGGGCCACCTGTGCCCTCCCGAGAGCTCCTGAGAGTGCAGCCTGGGTGAGTCAGCTGTGGAGGAAGGTCATCGGGTCCTGTCCCAGGACATCATCAGGTTGCTCTCCTTTTATCTCCTGTGACAGTTGCAGCAGCCGTGGTGTGGAAGGAGAGCTAGACAGGGCCTTGATTCTAGAGGTGGACCAAGGCAGCATGTCGGGGAGGGGTCGGTCCTCGAGAACCCAAGCCCCCCACGTGCTCCCTGACACCGGCTCGGGGCGTCCTTGCTGTCCCCAGGTGTGTTACCGGCGCAACGGCCACAACGAGATGGACGAGCCTATGTTCACGCAGCCACTCATGTACAAGCAGATCCGCCGGCAGAAGCCCGTGCTACAGAAGTACGCAGAGCTGCTGGTGTCCCAGGGCGTGGTCAACCAGCCCGAGTATGAGGTGTGTCTGCCCGCGAGCTGCGGTTGGGGGGCCGACCGAGGCCAGTGCTCGCTGCAGAGTGGCTAGTCCCAGTGAGGGCATGTGAAACACACTACAGCTTCTCAGCCCTGCCAGTTTGGCTCAGCCGTTAGAGCGTCAGCCTGTGTTCTGAAGGGTCTCGAGTTCGATTCCCAGTCAAGGGCACGTACTTGGGTTGCAGGTTCAATCCCTGGCCCTGGTCAGGATTGGGGGGGGGACAACCAATCAGTGTTTCTTTCTTTCTCTCTTCGCCTCCCTCCTCCTTTCCACTCTATCTAAAAACTAATGGAAAAATATCCTTCGGTTAGGGTTAAAAAAAAAACAGCATTTCACTGCATAACATTTGCAGGGCGTGGGGGGTGTGGGCACCAAGGACTTCCACGGGGAGGTGGGATCTGAGCACTTGGTCACAGGTGGTAGCCTCCTGTGCTTCCCAGCTGGAGGAGTCCAGTGTCGGGGTGAGTGGCGGGTGCAGGTCCAGGTCAGGGCAGTGGGCAAGGCGTCGGCGTGCCTGTGAGTCCTAGGCGGCTGTTGCGGGAGGCACGGGAAAGGCGAATGCGCAGAGGGCGCTGTGGGGTCCCGTCCTACGGGCTGCAGGAGCCATGAGGGCCAGACCTTGGAGGCCCCACTCTGAGCAGGGTCTGCCCCAGCTGGGGAGCAGGAGCCACGGGCAGCATGGCTCCCGGACATGGGACCCCAGGGCCAGGGCTCTGCCTGGCGCCCGTGCAGAGCCCCCGACAGCTGCGCTGTGCCGCCCTCCAGGAGGAGATCTCCAAATATGACAAGATCTGTGAGGAGGCCTTCGCCCGGTCCAAGGACGAGAAGATCCTGCACATCAAGCACTGGCTGGACTCCCCCTGGCCTGGTGAGTGAGGTGTGGCCAGCGGACCCCCAGCACTCGCAGGCCCTGGAGGCGCACGCTGACGCCCTTCTCCTGGGAGGCCGGCCCAGGCCTTTCCACAGCATCTCGGGCCCGCAGTGCGGCTGGCGTCAGCTTGTCCCTTACATCCTAGGCTTCTTTACGCTGGACGGACAGCCCAGGAGCATGACCTGCCCTTCCACGGGCCTGACGGAGGACGTCCTGACCCATATTGGGAACGTGGCCAGCTCCGTGCCTGTGGAGAACTTCACCATTCATGGAGGTGAGGACACTGCGCTGACCTTCGGAAGCCGGGGGCAAAGTCCACTGACGAACTCTCACCAGCTTGGGACCCAGTCCTTGTCCGAGATGGGGTGGTTGAATTCAGGAAGCTCTCCTCCCTGCACCCCCGCCCAGCATGGTCCTCGATGGCAACCGTGGAGGAGAGAGGGCCCATCACGCTCACCAGCTTAGTCTTCTCACGCTCCCTCCCCCACACTCCGGTGGTTTGCTCTCGTGGGAGGCAGGGCAGCTGGTAAGACCCTGTGTCTGCAGGGCTGAGCCGGATTCTGAAAACCCGCGGGGAGCTGGTGAAGAACAGGACCGTGGACTGGGCCCTGGCAGAGTACATGGCCTTCGGCTCCCTGCTGAAGGAGGGCATCCACATCCGGCTGAGTGGCCAGGACGTGGAGCGGGGCACCTTCAGGTGAGGTTCCAGGCCTCTCGGAGCAGAGGGGTGGGGGCGGGTGCTTCTCTTCCAGAGAGAACAGGGGCAGGGCCGTGCCGGCCGCAGTCCCAGACCCAGAGCTCACTCCTGCTCTACGGGGGGCGCTCCTGTCAGGAGGGCGGGTGCTTGTGGAGCAGGGCAACTCCGGCCTGCTCACTGCTGTCGCCTCCGCAGCCACCGCCACCACGTGCTGCACGACCAGAACGTGGACAAGAAGACCTGCATCCCCATGAACCACCTGTGGCCCAACCAGGCCCCCTACACTGTGTGCAACAGCTCCCTGTCTGAGTACGGGGTCCTGGGTAAGCAGGACCCACCCGCCCCGCCCCTCCCCCCTCTAGCCCCTGCCCTGCCCCCCACCGCCCTGTCCCCACCTTCCTTCTGACCCCCTCCCTGCTCTGCAGGCTTCGAGCTGGGCTTTGCCATGGCCAGCCCCAACGCCCTGGTGCTCTGGGAGGCGCAGTTTGGCGACTTCCACAACACAGCCCAGTGCATCATCGACCAGTTCATCTGCCCAGGGCAGGCCAAGTGGGTGCGGCAGAACGGCATCGTGCTCCTGCTGCCTCACGGCATGGAGGGCATGGTGCGTGCTGGGCCCGGCCTGGGTGGCCACGCCACACTGTGGGGGAGGCAAGGGGAGGGAGCTGCCAGCAGGCAAGCACCACAGGGCGTTTGCAGAGAAGTAAAGCTGTAGCCACCGTCTGCTTCCAGGGCCCAGAACATTCCTCTGCCAGGCCCGAGAGGTTCCTGCAGATGTGCAACGATGACCCCGACGTCCTGCCGGTGAGCGGGTGCCGGCCAGGTGTCTGCAGGGCCACGGTTCTGCCCCTTTGGCCGTCGCGGGGAGGGTTGGAAGGGGGCCCACAATACTGGGGCTCAAGGGAGGCACCCATGCACAGAGACAGCGTGGCCTCCGCCTGCTCAGTGGGTATGCGTGGGGCGGCGCCGTCTGTTCAGGCAGACGTGCAGGAGGAACTCAGGGGTTATAGTGACTGATGGCCGGGGTCGCTCTGCTAGGAAGAGATTGGTGGAGGCAGGACCTGGGCCAGGCCGGGCAGTAGTCAGCGAGGTGGGAGGGCCGAGCGTGGGAGGGGGCGGCAGACCCTGTGAGCTCCCACAAGCACCCCCTCCTCGCTGCAGGACCTCCAAGAAGCCAACTTCGACATATGTCAGCTGTACGACTGCAACTGGGTGGTTGTCAACTGCTCCACGCCCGGCAATTTCTTCCACGTGCTGCGCCGTCAGATCCTCCTGCCCTTCCGCAAGCCAGTCAGTGGGGCACTCCCTGGCCACGGGGGGTGGACATGTGGAAGGGTGGTATAGGTGGTGCACTGAGCTTGGAAGACAGGTGAACCCCAGCAGGAGCCACTTGGGCGGGGTGTTGAAGGATGAATAGGAGTGTGTGTGAATGGTCCAGGGGGAGAGCACCTTCTGCTATTGCCGGTTGAAGTACAAGGCCACGCAGGCCCACATCATGGGACAGCTTCGGGTAGCCACAGGAAGGGATGCCAAGAGAGGAGGGGGGCTCTTTCCCAGGTATGTGGTAGGGGCTGCCTCGGACTCAGAGCAGGCTGGGATGGGCCCTGGAGGAGAGGGTGCCTGGCTCAGTGGGGCCCTTCCTCTGGCTCAGTGGGGCCTTTCCTCTCAGAGCAGGGGCGAGGCAGACATGGGGAATAGCACCAGCCATTTTCCACTCTTCACGCCTCTGACCCCGGAGCTGGGAGGGCAGTGTCCTGAAGAGGCCTAGGCAGCCCCCCCCGCTGCTGACCTGCCTGGAACCCTTAGATCCGTGTCCCTCATGAGCCTATGGTTCTGTGTTTCAGTTGATCATCTTCACACCCAAGTCCCTGCTGCGGCACCCTGAGGCCAGGACCAGCTTCGACGAGATGCTGCCAGGTGGGTGCAGGGATGGGCATCCCGGGGTTCTTGGCTGCTGCCCTGTGGGGCTTTGGGGCTCATACTGTGGCCCTTGCCATACTTTGGGTAGTTGAGCAGAGACCACGACCATGACAGCCCAGACGCCCGCAAGTGGTCAGGAGGTGTGTCTCGCCCTGGCCGGTTTTGCTCAGTGGTTGGAGCCTATGGACCAGAGAGTCCCGGGTTCGGTTCCCGCTAGGGGCACATACAAAAAAAAAAAGGTGTGTCTTACGTCTGCCCAGGTCTGTGGCCTTTGCCTAGAGCATCCCCAGGGCCCTTGAGAGGCAGTGAAATGAGTCTGGGCTTAGAGCTCACCCCACCACCTGGGCTGAGCTTCTGGAGACTGGCCCCAGTCACCTCAGGGACTGAGGAAGGGCACTGGGTGGGTGGGGCCTGCCAAGGAACCTGCCAGTTCCCTGGTGTGAGGTGAGGCCCCGCACGTCCCCCGGCTCATGGAGAGCCCACCTCCTCCCAGCCATGGGTCCCCCGTCAGGCTCCCTCCCATCAGTATGAACCTCTTGTTTGTTGTGTTTTTCAACTTTTCATTATGGTGAAATACACGTAACATCCTTCACCACGTCGCCCGTGTTCAGTGCACAGCTCAGTGAATAAAATGCAGTCACACTGGTGCAGCCGTCACCTCCAGAACCTTCCGTCTTCCACACCGATGCTCCGTCCCCATCACACCTCACTCCCCTCCCCTGCCCCCGCACCACCTGACTCCCAGGGCCCTCCTGTACACAGAGCCACACGGTGCACGTCCTCTGTCTGGCTTGGTTCACTCAGCAGTGTCCTCAAGGTCCAGCCTCGTGGGAGCAGGGGTCAGGCGGTCCTTCGTCGAGGCTGAACGGCATTCCACGTGGGTGGACCACATCTTGTTAGCCCTGTTCTTGTTTTTGTTTTGGTTTATGCGGCTTAACTGGAGAAAAGCAGGTCGATAGCAGAGCTGTTAGTTGGCCTGATCCGTGGACACCTGCAGCATCCGTGCGGCGCTGGGTCAGGCTGTGCTCGCCCTTCACCCTGGCGGCACCGGGTTGCTCCCACCTTCGCGGTGCATTTCCCTTGATGCTGAGCATCTTCTCTTTGTGTCTGCATATCGGCTCTTTGCATCTTTTTCAGATAAATGTCTGTACAAGTCCTTTGCTGACTTTTGTTTGTTTTATTAATTCTCAGCTGCAAATATTTTTCAGGTGATTTTTAGAGAGAGTGGAAGGGAGGGAGGAAGAGAAAGAGAGAAACATCAATGTGAGCGCAATGCATTGATTGGTTGCCTCCCTCATGGCCTTGACTGGAGTTGGGGATCAGACCTGCAGCCCTTCAGTCTGTGGGCCAGTGCTCTAACCGCTGAGCCAAACTGGCCAGGGTGCCTTTGCCGATGTTTCCATTGCATTTTGTTCAGTGCCGTTCTCTCTGCCTGCTGGGCGTTAGCCCTGTCGGATGTGTGCTTGCAGTTCTTCCCCGCTCTGCCACCTGCGGACACGGCTGTCCACGGCTCCGTGACGCCCACGTCTGTGGTGAAGTCACCTGCGGACACGGCTCCGTGACGCCTGCGTCTGTGGTGGTGTCCCCTGCGGTGTACATCAGGAAGTCCCTCCGAGTCCAGTGTTGTGGGGCTTTTGCCCTGCGTTTTCTCCTCAGAGTTTGTCCTCTTGGCATTTAAGTTTCTGATCCGCGTTGCGTTACTGTAGGTGTACGGATGAGGGTCCGGCCTCATTTCCACGGGAATGTCCCGTCCTCCCAGCACTGTTTGCTGAGAAGAGTGTCCTTTCCCCATTGAGCGGTTTGACACCCTTGTCGGCAATAACTGGACACAGACGTGAGGGCTTATTTCTGGGCTCAGTTCTGGCCCATGGTCTGTAGGTGTGTTTATGCCAGGACCACCCTGTGGTTGGCTGGTTGGTTGGTGATGCAGAACATTCTTCATTATAACAGTGCATAAAAGAGAGCTGGGTGCCCTGACCGGGAACCGCCCAGCACCCTTGCACAGCACAGGACGGGACCACCCCGGCCAGGGCAGGGCCACGCCGTTTTCATCACTGTGCTTTTAGTGGTTTTGAAGTCGGGACGTGAGTCCTCCGGCTTTGCTTTTCTTTCTCAAGACAGAGGCTGTTTGGGACCTTCTGAGATTCCATGAGCTACAGGACGGGTGTTTCTGTTTCTGCAGAAAGAGGGTTCTGATGGGGCTGCACCGACTGCAGATCACGGGCCAGTGTTAGCACCCTGACCGTGTCGAGTCTTCCAGACCATGAACACACGCTTACGTTACTAGTGTCTTCTCCAGTTCATTTTAGGAACGTGTTGTAGTTTCAGTGTATAAATCTTTCGTTTTCTTGATTAAGTTTATTTCTAAATGTTTTAATCTTTTAATGCTATTTTATTTGTAAATGTTTTTATTTATTTATTTATTTTTTATTTTTGTTACAGATGTTTCTCCTGATTTTTTTTTAGAGAGGGAGAGAGATAGAAACATCAATGTGATGTCCCCCCAACTGGGGCTGGAGCCCAAAACCCTGGCATGTGCCCAGACTGGGATTCGAACCCAGACCTCTCAGTCCATGGGACGATGCTCCGTCCACTGAACCACACTGGCCGGGCTTTGGTGCTGTTTTAAATGGGATTGTTTTCTTAATCTCATTCTTGGGTTATTCGTCGTTAGCGTATAGAAGTACAACTGGGTTCTAGTTGTTGATTTTTCTGTCCTGCACTTTTGCTGAATTTGTTTGTTCTAACGGGGTTTTTTGTGGACTCTTTAGGGTTTTTCACATGTAAGATCATGTCATGTACACGCAGGTTTACTTCTTCCTTTCCCATTTGGATGCCTTTTGCTTCCTTTTCTTGCCTGACTGCTGTGGCTGGAACCCGGGGGCTGTTGGAAGGAGGTGGTGAGAGTGACCCTCGTGCTGTCCTTGTCTCAGGGCGGCTTTCAGTCTCACCACGAGCAGGATGTCGTGTGTCCCACGCCTGCCTTACCGCGTGGAGGCAGCTCTCGTCCTGGTGCGGTGCGTGTTTCCCACGCCTGCCTTACCGCGTGGAGGCAGCTCTCGTCCTGGTGCGGTGCGTGTTTCCCACGCCTGCCTTACCGCGTGGAGGCAGCTCTCGTCCTGGTGCGGTGCGTGTGTTTGACTAGGAGAGCCGGCCCTCCTTTCGGACACAGCTTCCTTAAGTCGGCCTTGTTCTCACGGGCCCGGTCCCAGACCTGATCTGACCGTTTGCTGTGGGACATTTTAGTGTCTGAATCCCTGAGAGTCTGAGCGGAATGGTCATGGGATGTTTTCCCGGACACAGCTGCCTGCCCCTGCGGTCTGAGGACCCTGTCACCCATCAAGGCTGGCATTGCCCCCGGGGCCTGTTCCTACAGGCACTTCTCAAAGCTTCCTCGTCTGGAAATGGAAGGGCATCAGAGGCTGATGGGGTGGGAGGTGAGGGGGAGGTGGGTGGGGACGGCCCGCGCTGCCTCACGGCCCGAGTCCTGGGCTGCCGTTTGGTCCCTCACTCATGGGCGGGCCCTGGCGTCCTCAGCCAAGTCCGGGTTCTCTCATAGGAACGCACTTCCAGCGGGTGATCCCAGAAGATGGCCCTGCAGCCCAGAGCCCAGAAAACGTCAAGAGACTTCTGTTCTGTACTGGCAAGGTGTACTACGACCTCACTCGAGAGCGCAAAGCACGGGGCATGGTGGAGCAGGTGGCCATCACCAGGATCGAGCAGGTGAGGCGGGCGCTGCCGCGGGGGCTGCGCTCTTCCTGGGGTGTGGGGCCTGGAGCTCCCCCAGGACACCGTCCCTGTGGCGCCAGCCTTGCCGGCTGCTCCGCGCACCTGCCTGACCGAGCCTCCTCCCCTAGCTGTCGCCGTTCCCCTTCGACCTGCTGCTGCAGGAGGTGCAGAAGTACCCCAACGCTGAGCTGGCCTGGTGCCAGGAGGAGCACAAGAACCAGGGCTACTACGACTACGTGAAGCCCCGGCTGCGCACCACCATCAGCCGTGCCAAGCCCGTGTGGTAGGCTGCAGCCCCGGACCAGGGAGGAGGGGCAGGGGGGCCGGGCCCGGTGGCCGTGCCATCACCTCTGTCCCCACCCCAGGTATGCTGGCCGGGACCCCGCGGCCGCTCCCGCCACTGGCAACAAGAAGACCCACCTCACGGAGCTGCAGCGCCTGCTGGACACGGCCTTTGACCTGGACGCCTTCAAGAACTTCTCATAGATGCTGCTGGACCACTGGCCTCCACGTCCACCACTGCCCTCGCTTCTCAACTAAAGAATACCTAGTGCCTCGTGCTGCCCACGCCTCTGCCCGCGCACTACCCACACGCCTCTCGCCCACTGGCCGCCAGGCTGCTGCCCCTCACGAGGCCCACACTCCCCGGGCCCCCAACTCCGGCCCGCCGTGCAGCTTTGTGGAGGCCGCGGGATCTGGGGGAGAGGGAGCCCCGCAGGTGTCCTGGGAGGGTTGGCCAGCCCCACCCCAGCTTCCCCCCAGGACAGCTGTGTGGGGCGCACCCCCAGCCAGGGGCCTGCACGAGGTGGGTTTCTCCTCCTGGGTGGGGCCCCGGCAGCTGGTGGGGCAGCCTGACTTGGCACAGAGAGGGCAGGCCCACTCTCCACCGTGTCCGCTTGGCCTCCCAGAGGGTCCCAGGCGTGCAGGGCCGGAGAGTGGGCGGTCAGAAAGCCCCACTGCTCTGGGTCCTGCTCACGGGCACCTCCGCTCGGCCCAGCACAGCCCAGACTCCTGTGTCCCTTTCACACAGTGGAGCCCCTGGAGTGTTCTCTCAGCCCAGCCAACGCCGGTCGGGGTGGGGGTGGGGCAGGGTGAGGGCCTCCCCTCACCTGTCACAGGAACAGATCTGATCTATTTATTTTGGTTAAAAAAAAAAGCAAAACAACATTGCGTTGCATTTGGCTTGACTCATAAACTAAGTTACCTTGGGCCTGTCTGTGAGTCGTTCTTCCACCTGCCCCCACTGCATGGCGCCCGTGCCCTGCGGGGTCCCCGGGGCCATCGCCCGCCCACCTGGCTGGCTCCCTGCTGTCCACGTACGTGTCGAGTCTGGTCCCCGTCTGAGCCTCTCAGTCCCTCCCACTCGACCAAAAAAGGTGTACCTGGTGGGTCCCCTGGGCCATCTGTGCAGAGCCTGGGCCACACGGCAGATCCCATCCCCCACGGACGGGTCCAGTGTCCCCTCTTGACGAGGCCCAGTCTGGGTTCACAACAGGACAGCCTTGACCTGCTAGGGAGGCCAGCACTGGGGGAGCTCGGGGAGAGGCCTGGGTGTGGACACGGTGCCCTCTAGTAGCAGACCCCTGGTCACTTCGTCCTCTAGGTCACACCTGGGACCTCGTCCTTAAAGCCTTTTCGGAATCTTCCTCTTATCTGTGTACTCCTGCAGCTTGCTCGGGGTCCTCCAGGCCTGGGCCGACGGCAGCGGGCCTCCTATGTGTGCCCAGAGCCAACACAGCCTCCGAGTGTGCCTGACAGCTGTCCAGGCCCTGAACTCCGCCTGAGTTAGGGGTAGGGAGAAGTACATCTCTCTCTTCCTAGAAACAGAAGTCTCCCTCTGTAATTGTTAAGAATACAAAGTCGTCCCGAGCCCAAAGACGATGAGAACCACTGACCCAAAGGAAATAAAGGGTGAGGCCACGTGGAAATCTGGGGAAGGACTAACACAGGAAACGGCACAGGAAGTAGAAAGAAAGGCTCGCTGGAGAGGCTGGGCGTCTGAGGTGGCGCAGTGAGCAGGGGAGGAGCGGGAATGAAGGGGGACGCTGGACCAGCGCACGGCCTTTGAGGCTTGGCTTTCACCTTGCCCCGAGTGCTGTAGGAAATCACTACAGGATTCTTTCTTTATTTTTTTTTTTTTTATTTATTTTTTATCCTCACTCGAGGACATTTTTCCATTTTTTGTTCAGGTAGAGTGGGAGGGAGAGAGAGGAACAGAGAGAGAGAGAAACATCGATGTGAAGGGACACATCGAGTGGCTGCCACCCGCACAACCGACCAGGGCCGGGGACAAACTGCAACCGAGGTACATGCCCTTAGCGGGAACTGAACCCGGGTCTCTCCGGACCGCAGGCCGACGCTCTAACCTCTGAGCCAAACCGGCCAGGGCGATTCTTTCTTTATTTAAAAAAAAATGTTTGATTTTTCAGGAAGGGAGAGAGAAACATCAATTTGTTGTTACACTTATTTATGCATTCATTGGTTCTTGTAAGTGCCCTGCCAGGGATGGAGCACACAACCTTGGTGTGTCCGGACAATGCGCTAACCAACTGAGCTGCGCAGCCTGGGCCTTACAGGGTCCGAGAAGAGTGTCACGGGCTGACTTAGGCTTTAAGCAGCTCACTCTGGCTGTTTGGCTGTGAGAGCAGAGGCGGAGACCGGCCACCGGCCCTTCTCACCACTTCTGTTCAACATTGTACTGCAGGGGCAGTTAGGCAAGAAGACGCAGCAAAACACGTGCAGATTGGAAAGGAAGAAGGAAAACTATCCATTTGCAATGGCATGATCTTATATACAGAAAACTCTAAGGAATCCATCTTAAAAACTATTAGAATTAGTAAATGAAGTCAGCTAGGTTGCAGGACATAAAGTCAATATATTAGAACCTGTTGTATTTCCACACACTAGCAACTAAACTGGAAAATGAGATCAAGAAAAATTCCCTCTGCAACAGCATCATAAGTGAAATGCTCGGGGAGCGTGCGTGGCCCACAGAGGCCGAGAGCTCATAAACCGATCTGCGTTACCTCCACTGCGATCAGCGCTGTCACTGAGGACTCCCAGATCCAGACCCGGGACTCCAGAGCAGCCACGCTCCTCCCAAGAAGGCGGCTATCATTTCAGATTCCTTGGAGGAAAAGGGCTCTCTGGCCTTGCTTCCAACAATGCAGGTGGGACTGGCAGCATCCGCATGCGCTGCGGGGGTCTTGGCACACTGCCACACTGCCACAGGCTTCCGTGGCCCTCGGAGGAAAATGAGGTGTTGCTCAAGTTAACTTCCTCTCTCTTCCTGCAGAGGTGGTGTGGCCCCCAGCAGGCACCCACTGAATCAACACTACCATTGGGATCCCCAATTTCAGCACCCCAATTTGGATCTGTTGCAGAGCTCCTGGCCTGGCAGGAGTGGCTCAGTGGACGGAGCATCGTCCCATGAGCTGAGAGGTCCCGGTTTGATTCCCAGTCAGGGCACATGCCCGGGTTGTGGGCTCGATCCCCAGCAGGAGGCAACCGGCTGATGTTTCTCTCACATCGATGATTCTCTCTCTAAAAAATCAATAAAAAGAGCCCCTGGCCAACATGCCTCCTGCCCTACTGGACGATACTTGGACATTGAGCAGGAGGAAGGGGCCCCTGCTGCAGAGGAGCCGCTGGCCACTCGGCATCGCTCACTCGATGGAACTCACAGTCGTTTTTATTGCAGGTGCAGCTGGGAGAAAGCCTGGAGGCCCGTCTCGAGCCCAGGGCAGGCTTCCCAAGGCAGCTGGCAGACACCAGCGCTCGTGCTTCGGAGTCTGCAGTCACCCAGTGGCCTAGTTCCAGATGTGCCCAGTGGCCTAGTTCCAGATGTGCGTGAGCAAGGTTCCTGACACCTCGTGCCTACCAGGGGGCGCTAAATGCCACCGAAGCCTGCATCAGCCCCTTGGGCAGAACCAGCCTCTGTTGCATACCCTCTGCTCCCCCTTCACCTTTTCAAAGACTGGCTTCTGGTTCTCCCTGAAGTGTTTGTTACACGGGGTGTTCAAGTGTATTTTGAGAGGGAGGGAGGGAAGGAACATAGGGGGGTGCATACGTTACTAGTAACATTTTAAAACTAAAATTTTGGAACAGTGTTTATGAAAATCTTTAACTGGCCCTGGCCGGTTTGGCTCGGCGGTTAGAGCATCGGCCTGCGGTCCTGAGAGACCCGGGTTCGGTTCCCGCTAAGGGCATGTACCTCGGTTGCAGTTTGTCCCCCGGCCCTGGTCGGTTGTGTGGGTGGCAGCCACTCGATGTGTTCCTTTCACATCGATGTTTCTCTCTCTCTCTCTGTTCCTCTCTCTCCCTCCCACTCTACCTGAACAAAAAAATGGAAAAATGTCCTCGGGTGAGGATAAAAAAAAAAAAAAAAATCTGACTTTTGACCCCTTTTATTAATCCTCACCCAAGGATATATTTTTCCATTGATTTTTAGATAGACTGGAAGGGAGGGAGGGAGAGATAGAGAAACATTGATGTGAGAGAGACACATTGATTGACTGCCTCCTGTATGACCCCAGCCAGGGCTGGGGATCTAATCTGCATCCAAGGTACGTGCCCTTGACCAGGAATCGAACCTGCTGCCCTTTGGTCTGCAGACCGACACTCTAACTGCTGAGCCAAACTGGCCACAACTTAACCATTTTTTTCTATCCTCATTTTTGCATTGATCTTCAGATAGAGAGGGAAGGAGAGAAGGAGGAAGAGAGAGAGAGAGACACATCGAGTGGCCGCCACTCACACAACCCCAGCCGGGGCTGGGGACAAATTGCAACTGAAATACATACCCCTAGCGGGAACCAAACCTAGGTCGCTCTGGTCTGCAGGTAGACGCTCTAACCAATGAGCCAAACTGGCCAGGGCGCCCTTTTTAATAATTTGAATAGTTGTAATAAACTATTTGGTTCTATTCTAAAAAATGCTTAGGAATAAAGTTAACAAAAAAGCTCAAAACTTGTATGCTGAAAACTACAAAATTGTTGAGAAGAATAAAAGAAAACCTAAGTAAATGGAAAGATATTCCATGTTCATGGGCAGAAAACTTCATGTCATTAAGAAGGAGGGGAGGGGGGAATCAGTGGGGGGAAAAAGGAGAATCATCTGTAACAAAAATTAATCAATAAAAATAAAAAATAAAAATAAATAAAAAGAAGGCATCACTCGTGTCCTGGCTGGTTTGGCTCAGCGGTTGGAGCGTCAGCCTGTGGTACAGAGAGACCCGGGTTCGGTTCCCGCTAAGGGCACGTACCTCAGATGCAGTTTGTCCTCGGCCCTGGTTGGTCATGCAGGTGGCAGCCATTCGATGTGTCCCTTTCACATCAATGTTTCTCCCTCCCTCCCTCCTCCTCTGTCTGAACAAAAAATGGGAAAATGTCCTCAGGTGAGGATTAAAAAAAAAAAAAAACTTAGAACAAAACAGGTATAAAGCTTGTGACTCTGGATTAGGCAACATTTTTTTTTTTTATCCTCACCCAAGGACATTTTTGCATTTATCTTCAGAGAGAGCGGGAGGGAGAGAGGGAGGAAGAGAGAGAGAGAAACATCAATGTGAGAGAGACACATCGACTGGCTGCCCCCCACACGACCCCAACCAGGGCCAAGGACAAAGTGCAACTGAGGCACGTGCCCTTAGCGGAAACCGAATCCGGGCCTCTCTGGTCTGTGGGCCGACGCTCTAACCGCTGAGCCAAAACGGCCAGGGCAACAGTTTTAAATATAACACAAAAAAATCTAAGTAACGTGGAAATACAGATAAATCAGATTTCATGAAAGTTAAAATAGCCCTGGCCAGTTTGGCTTAGCAGTTGAGCGTCAGCCTGCAGACCAGAGTCCCGGGTTCAGTTCCCGCTAAGGGCACATACCACAAAACAAAACAAAACAAAAACAAACAAAAAAATATTTGTGAGTCAAAGGACACCATCCAGAAAGTGAAAAGACAGCCCAGAAAATACTTACAAATCATAAACCCGATAAAGGACTTGTATCTAGAATATATAAATTCTACAGCTCAATTGAAAGTTATATATGGCTAAAACATATATAATTTTATTAACCAATGTCATTCCAATAAATTCAATTTAAAATTATGCGTGGCCCTGGCCGGTTTGGCTCAGTGGTTAGAGCGTCAGCCGGTGGACCAGAGAGTCCTGGGTTCAGTTCGTGCTAAGGGCACGTAACTTGGTTGCAGTTTCTCCCCAGCCCCATTTGGGGTCACGTGGGTGGCAGCCATTTGATGTGTCTCTCTCACATGGATGTTTCTCTCTCTCTTCCTCTGTTTCTCCCTCCTGCTCTACCTGAAGATAAATGCAAAAAAAATGTCCTCAGGTAAGGATAAAAAAAAAAAATGGTCTACCCATATAATGGAATATTATTCAGCCATAAAAAGGAATGAAGTACTGACACATGCTACAACATATTATATGATTTCATATATGTGAAATGTCCAGCCTGGTCAGTGTGGCTTACTGGTTGAGCATTGACCCATGCACCAAGAGGTCACTGGTTCGATTCCAGGTCAGGGCACACGCCCAGGTTGTGGGCCAAATCCCCAGTGGGCGGCATGCAGGAGGCAGCCAATCAGTGTTCTTTCTCATCCATGTTTCCATCTCTCTCTACCTCTCCCTCAACTCAATAAAGAAAACAAAAAACAAAAACAAATGTCCAGAGTAGGCAAATCCATAGGGACAGAAAGTAGATTATCGGTTGCCAGGGCCTGGGGGAGGGCGGGGAGGTTGGTGACTGCTAACAGGTATGCAATTTCTCCTGGGAATGATGAAACATTCTCAAATTGATTGTGGTGGTGGTTACACTACTCTGAGTAAACATAATACCATTGAATGTTACACTTTATGCGGGTGAATTGTGCGGAATGTGAATTGTATCTCAAGTAAGATGTTACAAAGAGCAAAAGGAGAGCTGCATGTGCAGGGCTCGGGAAGGCCCGAGCTCCATGCTGGACGCGTGGACATTGACTGGTATCAGGAAGAGATGTGGACCCGCCAGGTCAGCTGGGTCCAGGGAAGGTGAGGGTGGCTGTGACACGTGTGAGCGTCCTTTTCACATGCATAGAGCTAAGGGCCACGTAAGCTATTGCAGTGTGGGGGACAGGATGCCTCGAGGCCTGAGCCTGGGGCTGGTGCCTCCTCCGGCAGGACAGGGAGGACTGCCCCCTGAGAAGGTGACTTTGGCAAGTACAGGCCAAGCAGGGTGCCCAGGGAGGAGGGGAGAGGGACAGCAAGTCCAGAGAAAGGGGAGGTAGCTCCAGAGAGAGGGGGCACCCTGGAAGGATGGTCTGGTCGCCAGTGTTGTGACCTGGTGAGGACAGGAGCCACTGGCCCCACAAGGTCCAGAAGGATAAGTGCAGCAGTGACAAATGACACCGATTAGGAGCTTCAAACAACAGGAAGCTATTTTCTCAGCCTGGAGGCCAGGGACGGACATCCAGGTGTGGGCAGGGCCCAGCTCCGCCTGGAGGCTCCAGGGAAGAATCCTTCTTTGCAAGTACACTTCCTTGGCTGGTGCCCACATCACTCCAGTTTCTGCTCCGTGGTCACATCGCTGTCTGTGTGTCTGGCTCAAGGCCACCCCGCCCCCACCCCCCGCCTCTCCCTGAGGATGTCAGGACCCACTGGGATCATCCAGGATAAGCTCCTCCTCTCACAGACTTTAATTTAGTCACACCTTTTGCCATATAGGTGACATCTGCAGGCTCTGGGGTGCACATATGTCTTTGGGGGCCACCATTCAGCCCAGTGCATGGAGCAAAGACTGGACACCGGAAGTGGGGCCTACGTGGGATGTAGCTGGGCACAGGTGCAGCTGGCGGGACCTGCCATTTCCTCTGCCTGGCACACGGGCAGGCCCACCAGATGTGTCCTGTGACCTAATGATTCTCAAAACGACCTGGGCTCTCAGGCTGAGGGGACTAGATTCCATTCTTATGTCGGCCTCTTGGCTGAGGCCACTAAATGACTCCATTTTTATCATCAGTGGACCTTCCTCAACATTTTTCCAATAATAGGTTAATTACCCCTAGAAGTAAAGGAATTTTGCCTAAGAGGCATCTGTAGTTTCTGAGTACCAGTAATTGCAGACATTTGCAGGTATTCCTGAGCCCGGTGAATAATGCTAATTTTGACTTCTGTAATCACTGTCACGCCCACTATTGTACTGGTCCTCGGAGGGAGGGGGAGAAAAGGAGGATGGGGCTCCTGTCTTTAGAATTGAACTAGCTGGTTTGGCTCAGCAGTTAGAGCGTCAGTCTGCGGTCCAGAGAGACACGGGTTTGGTTCCTGCTAAGGGCCTCTGTTGCAGTTTGTCCCTGGACCTGGTTGGGTCGTGTGGGTGGCAACCACTCAATGTGTCCCTTTCGCATCGATGTTTCTCTCTCTCTCTCTCCCTCCCACTCTATCTGAACAAAAAAATTGAAAAATGTCCTCGGGTGAAGATAAAAAAATAAAATAAAATAAAATTGAACTAGCAAGAAGAATAGGGGCTGCAGATCTGAGGGGAGACTATGCCCTCTGCAGCCCCCAACCGAGAATAAAGCATTCCTTTACAATTTGGCTGTGGCCTCTGGTTATCTCCCTGACACATTATAACAAAAGGAAACAGCACAGGGCTCACATAGCCTGGTTGGGAAAAATTTCAGCAATATTAAAGACTAATTGTCCAGCCAGTGGGGCTCAGTGGTTGAGCATTGACCCAGGCACCAAGAGGTTGCTGGTTCGATTCCCGGTCAGGGCACATGCCCAGGTTTGGGCCCAATCCCCAGTGGGGGGCATGCAGGAGGCAGCCAATCGATGTTCTCTCTCATAGATGTTTCTATCTCTCTCTCCCTCTCCCATCATCTCTCTAAAATCAATAAAGAAAAACGTTTTGAAAAAAAAAGACTAATTGGCCCTGGCCGGTTTGGCTCAGCAGTTAGAGCGTTGGCCTGCAGTCCAGAGGGACCCGGGTTCGGTGTCCGCTAAGGGCATGTACCTCGGTTGCAGTTTGTCCCTGGCCCTGGCTGGGTCGTGTGGGTGGCAGCCACTCGATGTGTCCCTTTCACATCGATGTTTTTTTCTCTCTCTCCCTCCCACTCTATCTGAACAAAAAAATGGAAAAATGCCCTCGGGTGAGGATAATAATTAAATAAATAAATAAATAAAAATAAAAAAAGACTAAGTGAGGATAATAAATAAATAAAAATAAAAAAAGACTAAGTGAGGATAATAAATAAATAAAAATAAAAAAAGACTAATTGTGGGGCATTTGTTGCCCAGTGAATGGATAAAATGTGCTGTATATACGATGGAATATTATTCAGCCTTAAAAAGGAAGGAAACGTGGATGAACCTTGAGGACGCAGGCTGGTCCCAGAGGGATTACTGAATGGTTCCACTTACACGAGGTCGCTGGAATCGTCATATTTGTGGAGAGGGAAAGCAGGCGGGGTGCCAGGGGCTGGGGGAGGGGTGGGAAGTGAGTGAGTGAGTGGGACAGAGGTTCAGCTTTGCAGGAGGAGCTCTGTGGTTGGACGTGGTGACAGCCGCGCAGCGATATCAACGTGTTCAATGCCACCGAACTGTGCAACAGAAGTGGCTGCGATGGTCAATTTCACGTTGTGTGCACTTAAACACAACGAGAACGTTGCGGGTAATCACGACAAGGCGGTCTTTCTAAAGAGGGGAGAAGAACTTACGGGGTGATAACAGCCTGTGAAAGGTGCAACCTGATCAAAGAGGCGGCTCCATGGGCTGGAACTCAAAACCCTGCACCCGGGCAGTTCCGGGAAGAGGGGAGCAAGGAGCACAGCGACGCCCTCGGCTGCGCGGTTTTCCTTGGACACCCCGCCTCCAAAGAGGCCCGCCTGCCCCTCTCCTCCGCCCGCAGGCCCCGCCCCGCGCGCCCCTGGCCCCGCCCTCCGGGCCCGCCCCGCCCCTCCTACTGCCCCCGCCGCTCTGGCCCCGCCTCCTCGGGCCTGGCCCCACCCACCCGGCCCCGCCCGGCAGACAGCGAGCAGGAAGCGCGGTGGCTGTGCGGACGCGGTGCTGCTGGCAAAGGTGTGGCGGGGGCGGCCTCGCAGGTCGCCCTGGGGCTCCCGCGCGCCGCCGCCCCGCCCGCCGCCGCCGCCCCGCCCCCCGCCGCCCGCTCGGGGCTCCGCTGCTCTGGCCTGGGGGCGGGGCCTCGGGCGTCATGCATATGCATGAGCGGCGCGGCGGCTCCATTGTGCCCTGGGAGCGGCGGCGGCGCGATGGCGCGGGCGGCGACGGTCCCGGGGCGGCGGGCGGCGCGCAGGGCGGGCTGAGCGCATGGAGCGGCGCGGGCCGGGGGCCGCGGCGGCAAGGGGCCGGGGTCGGCCGCGCGGAGGTGAGCGGGCCGCGAGCAGGGGCGGGCGGCGGGCGGCAGGTGCAGCAGGTGCGGGGCGGCGGTGGCGGCGCCTCGGCGGGGCCCCGGGGCCGGAGCCGGCCTGCTGCGCTTGCGTCGCGGCCCCCGGGGCCGGCCGGTGCTCGCGGGCGACCCTCACCTGAGCCTTTGTTGCGGCGGCCGGAAGCCGGCCCGGCGCCCGCGGGGTGCGCGGGGGGCTGCCCGGCCTCGCCGACCTGGCCCGCGGCCGCGCTCCGCGGTGAGGCTGGTGGGTCCCCGCGGGCCGTGCGCGCCCACCGGCTCGGATCGTGGCCCGGCGACGCTTACCTTTCAGCCCCAGCCGTCCGTCGGTGGGTTCACCCCGCTCCGAACGGGGCATCTGGAAGCTCAGGCGGGGGTGTCCTGCTCCGTAGGACCTGCCCACCTGCGTGGCTCTCCCCATCCTGCTCCCCTTTTCCAGCCCTGACCTCCCCCTTCCGACCTGCTTTCCCCCAGACCTGCTGCCCCCTCTGACCTTTTCCCACCCTCCTGCCCCCACACCTGCCCTCTTTCCTAGTAATTGCAGAACGTCCATGGCGATGTCTGTAAGTCGTTCGTTGTCTCAGATTTCACAGGAACATACAGAACACCTAACTCGACACAGAAGATGGGGTGGGTCAGACAGGGCGCACACAGACTCCCCACTCTGGTTTGCCAGAACCAGAGGGCCTTCCTGGGAGAAGCGGCAGAAGGGTAACAGGATCAGCGAGGGAATCGGCCTCAGCCCGTGGGTCCTGGCCCTGGGGACTTGTCACACCCAGTGAATGGTCACAGGCTGGAACAAGCATTAGGGGAGGAGGACTCATGACTGACTTGATCCCATGGAGTGTCCACGAGCACCTGTGTCCAGGACAGGAGCCAGGGCTGATGACATAAAGGTGGTCACGTGTCCTTTCCTCTCCTCGGTCCTGGGCTGGCCACCGAGTACCCATTTCATATATAAACCAAGGCTCAAGGTAGTAAAACCCTTCCGTTGGTCTCTGAACTGTCCCACACCCCAGCCGTCCGTAAGTCCTCTTCCCCGGGCTTTCTGGATGGACTCAAGCAGTGTCCAGGCAGGTAGAGGGCAGGACTTCCAGCCACCTGGGCATGTGAGCCCCCAGCTTCGTGTCCGCTCCACTGGGTCTCAGCCTGTTTGACTCCAGTGTCCCCCTGGAGTAGCCTGGAACCACAGCTCCGTGCTCCTGCTGCAGGCAGGAAGTGCCTGCTCTGTGACTGAGGGGGGGGGGGGGCAGCCCCTGGGCAGCCAGGCAAGGGAACTGCAGTGGAGGGTGCAAGAGGGTTGACTAACATTAACATCTGCCTTCGTTGGCACACAGGAGTCTGGGTGCAGCTGCTGTGAGATTCTGGGAAGAGGGGTCTGGGTAGTGAGCTGTCTGTAGTTTTTATTCTGGAGGAAGATGTGATCTGATCCCCAGAAAGCTGTGTGGCCTCCTAGACTGACTTCATGCCAGGACGGTTCTGCCAAGGGGTCCTGGCTTCCAGCTGGAATTGGTGGACAGGCAGGCACGGGCCCTGCACACTTCCGGGCTCCTTCCCAGTTCTGCTCCAGGCCAGGGGGGGGGGGGGGCGGACTCACAGCACGCCTCTCCTTGGCAGGAGCAGGGGCTGGGGTACCTGCAGAGGTATCTGGAGACTGGTCTTCTCAGGAGGAGAGCAGACTTAGTTCAGGAGCTGGGTAGGCAGGAAGTCACCACCCCCACCAAGTAAGCTCTGGGGTAACTGGAAATGTTTGTGGTCTGTCCACAGCAGAGAAGCCTGGTGGAATTCCCCAGACCCACGTGGTGTGGGAGGCCGCCCTGCACCTGCCCTGTCCTCCTCCTCCAGCCCTCCCAGTGATTCTGGTATAGGCAGTTCCAAAGGGAACACCTTAGGCTCCCTGCCCTGGGACTCAGACTCCTCCTGCCCTTCTCCACCTTTTGCTTCTGGGACAGCAAAGTGGGTCCCGCCAACCCAACCAGCGCAGGGGTGAGAAAGGATTGCTGTGGGCCTCTCTGGAGAGAGAAGGCTGCTGGTGGTGACCTGGGCCCCAAGGCTAAAGCGACTAGATTACATTCTTATGTCGGCCTCTCGGCTAAGGCGACTAACTCCATTTTTATCATCAATGGACCTTCCTCAATATTTTTCCAATAATAGGTTAATTACCCCTAGAAGTAAAGGAATTTTGCCTGAGATTATAGTTGCCCCACATGTTGGGAGGCATCTGTAGGTATTCGTGAGCCCGGTGAATAATGCTAATTTTGACTTCTGTAATCACTGTCACGCCCACTATTGTACAGGTCCTCAGCGGGAGGGGGGCAAAAGGAGGATGGGGCTCCTGTCTTTAAAATTGGAGGAGCTAGGAGAATCGAGGCTGCTGATCTGAGGGGAGACTACGCCCTCCACAGCCCGCCGACGAGAATGAAGCGCTCCTTTTACGATTTGGCTGGCTGTGCGTCTCTGGTTATCTCGCTGACACATTGTAACAGTGGTGGTTTTTTACCTAAGTTTTTATTTTGTGAGAATTCTAGCTTCATATGCAGTTGTAAGAATGACACTGCCAGTGTATCCTTTACCTCTGCGGCTCTCTCCACATTTCACCCCTGGCAACGACTCTGTTCTCTGTGTCTGTAGTTCCGGCATTTCAGGAAGGTTACATAAAAGGAGTCCTATAGTGTGTAGCCTTTGGGGACTGGTTCTTTCCACACAGCAGAATCCTCAAGATTCCTGAAGGCAGATGCCTGGATTGGCTCACCCTTTTTATGCCTCAGGCTGTGGGTGCGCAGCCCTTGGTCAATCTTCACCCCTGGAGGACATCTGCATTTCTGTTTTTTTGTCGTTAGGAGTAAAGATGCTGTAAACATTCACGTGCAGATTTTTACCTGAACATCCATTTATGTTTCTCTGAGATGAGTGATCAGGAGTGAGTTGCTGGGTCAGATGGTAGCTGCTGGCTCAGTTTTATACGAAACTGCCCGACTGTTTTGCAGGGGGTGGCGTGTCCCACACTCTCACCCACTGCGTGGGAGAGATTCTGTGCCACTGTTTTTACTCTGGTCATCCTAGTAGGTGTGCAGTGACGTCGTGCCGTGGTTTTTTTGTTTTGTTTTGTTTTTATCTTCACCGAAGACATTTTTGCATTTATCTTCAGATAGAGAGGGAGGAAGAGAGAGAGAAACATCGATGTGAGAGACACATCAACTGGTTGCCACCCACACAACCCCAACGGGGGCTGGGGACAAACTGCAACCGAGGTACGTACCCCTAGCAGGAACCGAACCTGAAACTCCTTGGTCCACAGGCCGACGCTCTAACTGCTGAGCCACACCGGCCAGGGCTGTGGTTTTAATTTGCATTTCCCATCAGCCGGTGATGCTGAGCATCATGTCCTGTGCTCATTTGCCATCTGTATGTCCTCTTCAGTGAAATGTCTCTTGTCTTTTGCCCTCTTTCTAGTTGGACTTGTTTGTAGTGTATATTCGAGATGTTGCCTTGTGGATACGAGGTTTGCAGGTATTTCTCCTAGCCTGTGGCTAGTTTTCTCGTCTCCTTTCACAGAGAAGTTTTCCGTTTTTCCTTTCACGGATCGTGCCTTTGGTATCATATCGAATGACGCTTTTCTTTTATCTTTTTTTTTTTTTTAATCCTCACCGAGGACATTTTTGCATTTATCTTCAGATAGAGTGGGAGGGGGGGAGAAAGAGAGAGAAATGTCAATGTGAGAGAGGCACACAGACTGTCACCACCCCCATGACCCCAACTGGGGCCGGGGACAAACTGCAGCCGAGGTATGTGCCCTTAGCGGGAACCGAACCCGGGTCTCTCCAGTGTGCAGGCTGATGCTCTAACTGCTGAGCAAAACCACCCAGGGCCGAATGACGCTTTTCTTAGCGCTCGATCCCAAAAATTTTCTTCTGTGTATTCTCCTGAAGATTTTCTCATTTCATGTTGTGCATTTACATCTGTGACCCATTTCGTTGTTTCTCTTTGTGATTGGGGTTCAGGTCTCCTGCCTGTCTCTCTCTGGCCTCTCTGATCCCCTTGTTGTCGTCCTCGGTCTTTGCACTGTTGTTTGTGTGGGTCTGTTTCGGGTTCTCTGGCCTTTCCCATTGCTCTGTGTCTGTCCCTCTGCCAACACCACAGTCTGAATCAGCCCCTGATATTCTGAACCCTGAAAACCCTGCAGAGCTCCAGGCCCCACCCAGCAGGTCTGTGGAGTTTCTGACTGTTGGCGGGTTCCCTCCTCCCACCCGTGTCGGGCCAGAGTCAGGCAGTGGGGTCTGGGGACTCCAGTCTTCCCATTTGGCTTGACCCTGGCTCCTTGTCCTGCCTCTGCCCAGAGTCCAGGTGCCCTGAGCTTCTGGAGCCACTGCCCTGTCCTTTTTCTGGCCTCTGCTTCCTGGGTGGGATCCAGACTCGGAGGAAGGAGAGGAACCTGGGCCTGACTCCTAGGAGGTGCCGGGCCGTGATGGCCTCCCCTCCTTCTTGCCTTGGCTGTGCTGGGACTCAGGCCCGCGAGGGCACACGTTCCAAAGCAGAGCTGCCCCACAGAGCCCTTCCCTGCCACGGGTCCAGGCCAGGCTGACCTCGGGCACCTCCAGGACTGTGCAGAGGACGCAGTGGTCACCCCCCCCCCCCAGCAGCCTGTGGTCGGTCATCACTCAGGAGGACGAGCCTGGGGCTGGGGGGGTGCTGGGGACACCGTGTGGCAGCTGAGCCAGAGGAGACATCAGGAGTGCTGGGGCATGTCCCAGCTGGCCTGTGTGTGAGGCCTCGCAGCCCCTGAAATGCAGTGGGGCTCCAGGCCTGACCTTCGACCCCAAGAGGGTGCCTCCCAGGAGACCCCCGAGAACCATAGCCCACATGCCACTGTGGTTAGGCCAGGCAGAGGCGGGCATGGAAGTAGGCCCTGGGGAGCCAGCAAGGGCCCTAGGCCTATTGGTGAAGGGCCGGCTTGTGGGGGTGTCTGGACGCTTGGCAGCCTGGAGGGCCAGCCAGCCCTGAGATGCCGAACGGGGTGGGGGGCACTAGCACACAGGACCACCAGCATCTACCCACCACCGCTGCCCTGCCCATTGGCCCCGCCACCTGCGCCCGGAGTGCTGTGTCCTGTGCCATCGGGAACTCTGGGGGTTGTGGTGCCTGTCCCCAAGTCCATGCCAGGCGGTCCCCTTGGCTTCAGGGTGTGGGAGTGAGTTGCCTGCTGCAGTCCTGGGGTGGGAGTGGGGCTGCCAGTTTGGACAGGCAGATGGCCAGGCTGGAGGGTGGCTGGCCCCTGGCCTCTCCCTCCGGCCTTCTGGGGTGGTCTGGATATTCCCCACCTTTTGTGACTTTCCAGGCCTCTGAGTGGAGAGTGGGAAGTGTTGGGGTCAGAAAGCCGCTTCCAGAGCCATTCAGGGGGCGCCCGGGGGGCCGGGCCCGGGCTGGATTGGGGTCGGCAGTGTGGGACGGGCTCCCCGCCCTGCTCTCTGACCCGACCCTGCTCCCTGCTCCCAGGGCCTCACCTCCACTCACGCTCTTCCCTCCGTCCCCGCAGCCAGAGCAGCGGACACCCACATCAGCACCAGTGAAGGCTGCTTTCTGCCACCCACAGATCAGGCCTCTAGGCTGCTCCCGAGCCAATGAACCCCATGAAACCTGCCTTGCCCTCCACACCACATGGGTGAGTGGGGCTCCTGCTGCCCTGCCCTCTCGGGCCCCAGGGATGTGGGGGGCGGCCGAGTGGAGCCCTCTGCTCCCGGCCTTGAGTTCTTCCCACTGGCACCTTGGCCCCTGGGCCTGCAGACCCAGCCTCCCCTACTCCGTCCTTGCAGTGATGGTCCCTTTGTGTACGAGGCGGTGCCTTGGCAACAGAGTGCCGCTCAGCCGGCAGGATCGCTGTCCGTGGTCACCACCGTATGGGGAGTCGGCAACGCGGCACAGAGCCAGGTGAGCCATTCAGCCCAGACAGCGTGGAGCCGGGCTTCCCGGACTCCTGGTCCTCGCAGGCCCGTCCTCCCTACACGGGCTGCGATTCTCCTGTCTGCCTGGCCTGCCCAGACCCAGCCGCTCCCGCCCCCGCCAGGCCTCTCCTCTCCACACTTTGGAGCCACGGTGTGAAGCAGGTTATTTGGATGGTTGCCTTCGGTGATTCTGGCTTCTTTGCAGGTTTTGGGGAGTCCCATGGGTCCTGCAGGGAGCCCCCCAGGCAGCGCCATGATGCCTGGCATGGCCAGCGGCAGCTCGGCCTTGAGCTCCCCGCAGTGCCTGGGGCAGCAGGCCTTCGGCGAGGGCAGCGCCAGCAAGGGCTACGCGCAGCAGGCCGTGTACGGCCCCGGGGGCCCCGGCTTCTCCACGGGGTGAGCAGGACCCCCCGGGGCGGGCCCTGAGAACCGTGGCAGGGACTGGCTGGACATGGGGTCTGCTCCCCGCACCAGCGCCTGCAGCTCGTGGGGGGTCTGGGCCACGGGAGGTGCTGCGTGTGCCCCACCCCTTGGGCCACGGGGAGGCACTTTGGAGCCAGCCTTCTGCGCCTCTTGCAGATATGCAGGTGGCCCCGGGGGACCTGGGGGTCTGGGCCTCCCCTCCCATGCCACACGGCCTTCCACGGACTTCACTCAGGCAGCCGCTGCTGCTGCCATGGCTGCTGCCGCCGCCACCGCCACCGCCACCGCCACCGCGGCCGTGGCCGCCCTCCAGGAGAAGCAGAGCCAGGAGCTGAGCCAGTACGGAGCGGTGAGGCCGCAGCCCCTCCCTCGAGGGCCCGTGCCCTGCTCGGGGAGGTGGGCCGGCCAGCCCGCGGGCTCAGGCTGGGTGCGGGTGTGCACGCAGTGTGCCCGTGCAGCCCCTGAGGACACCCTGGAGGCGGTGGGCGGGCAGAGCGCTGGGGAGAGGACCGGCGCCCACGGGGGTGGCTGGGCCTGATGGTCCCTCTTCTCTTCCCAGATGGGGGCCGGACAGTCATTTAACAGCCAGTTCCTGCAGCATGGAGGTCCCCGGGGGCCCAGCGTCCCCAGCAGCATGAACCCTGCCAGCGTAGGAGGGCTGATGGGCCCCTCCAGCATGAGCTCCATGAGCATGAACCCCACTCGGGCAGTTGGCATGGCGCCTCTGTATGCAGGGCAGCGCCTGCCCCAGCATGGGTACCCTGGGCCTCCCCAGGCCCAGCCGCTGCCCCGACAAGGGGTCAAGAGAGCCTACTCCAACGAGGTGAGTGTCTGGACCCTCAACCCAAGTGCCATTCGGAGTCAGTGGAGTCAGACGTTCAGAGAACTGGCCGCGGGCACTGCTGCTCCTTGGTGGGCACTGGCCTCCCAGCACCTGTTCTTCTGGGCATTTGTCTTCCCTCCTTCAGGTGTATCCAGGGCAGCAGTACCTGCCGGGAGGCCAGTACTCACCCAGTGCCACCCAGTATGCCCCCGGGCAGCCCCCTGCCTCCTCTTCCTACCCTGGTCACAGGCTGCCCCTGTCCACCGCCGGCCCCCCCGGACTGCACTACAAGGTAGGGCCAGCTCCTGGGCCCGAGACAGCCCCTGCCTGACACTGGGACACAGACGGCCTTGGCAGTCGGCTGGCTGGGGAGGGGCCTGCTTGTGCTGGGTGACAGCAGCGGGAGCGTCCCAGGGGCCCTGAGCAGGCTCCCCAGGAGGCTGCAGCTCCGCAAGGACGCCCAGAGTGTCGGCAGACAGCGCTGGCACGGGCCACCTGTGTTTATGTGGCTGTTTTTTCAAGTGAAAAGTCAGTACGTGCTCCCTAAGATTATCTGGAAAATACAAAAGTGAATAAAGAAGGAAATGAAAGGCAAGGCCTGGGGGGGGGGGCTCCCCGCCCCCAGCCCTCTCCTGGGCCTGGTGCAGGGCCTGGCCAGGAGCGAGCTGAAGCCCCAGGTGCACACGGTCTTCTCTCCTCAGCCTGCAGAGCAGTTCAACGGGCAGGGCGCCAGCTTCAGCGGCGGGAGCATTGGCTACAGCCAGCCTGGCCTGAGTGGGGTACGGGCCGCCAACAGACGGGCGGGAGGCCCCCGGGGTGGGTGCGTGGAGAGAGGGCGCCCATGCACCCCTGGGATGCCCTGACCCTTCCAAGTGGGTGTTCAGAAACACATTCCAGCCCCCCCATTCTGCCTTGACTGTTTGCTCGACCCCACAGCCCACCCGTTCCATCCCTGGCTACCCCAGCTCCCCACTGCCAGGGAGCCCCACGCCACCCATGACCCCCGGCAGCAGCGTCCCCTACATGTCCACCAGCCAGGACGTAAAGTCTCCCTTCCTGCCCGACCTCAAGCCCAGCGTGAGCTCCTTGCACCCGTCACCGCCTGGTGAGTGTTGCAGGCCTGACTCTGGTCCTGCAGGGGGCGCTGGGCAGGGTCTGCCGTGGATGCAGTCTCTGTGGAGCTCCTGAAGCCCCGCCTGGCCCAGAACCCTGGTGGTCGCGGTCCGGAAACTTAGTCCGAGCTCTAGGGTGATTGATGACAGGTGGCCCGGGGATGCCTGTCTTCCCACCCACGCGAGCACCAGGAGCGCTTTCTGTCTGGGTAGGGCATGTTCTCAGGTCATGATCTAGGGACACTGAGCCAGGTGACAGGCAGGATGGAGCCCGGGAAAATCCTGTTACCATCAGAGGCAGTAGTGCGGCCCAGGGTTCCAGAAGTGCCGCCCTGTCCCCAGCCCGGTGGAGGGAGGATGGTCCCTGCCGTGGGGGTGCAGGCCGCCTGGTGGCCCTCCGCGCTGCTCGGACGCAGGAGGCCTGCTCACCCACGGGCCTGCTCTCAGGCAGCAGCCCCTGTGACGAGCTCCGGCTGACCTTCCCCGTGCGGGACGGGGTAGTCCTGGAGCCCTTCCGCCTGCAGCACAACCTGGCGGTGAGCAACCATGCCTTCCAGCTGCGGGACTCCGTCTACAAGACCCTGATGCTCAGGTGAGTGGGCGGCGGCCCCTGCGGCCCGCGCGCCTCCGCCTGGCTTTCAGCGCCCGCCCTCCCCCTGCAGGCCTGACCTGGAGCTGCAGTTCAAGTGCTACCACCACGAGGACCGGCAGATGAGCACCAACTGGCCGGCCTCGGTGCAGGTCAGCGTCAACGCCACCCCGCTCAGCATCGAGCGCGGCGACAACAAGACCTCGCACAAGCCCCTGCACCTGAAGCACGTGTGCCAGCCGGGCCGCAACACCATCCAGATCACCGTCACGGCCTGCTGCTGTGTGAGTTCCCTGGCATCGCGGCCCTGCAGGCCGTGGGCTCATCCTGCCAGGGGTCCTGCTCCATTGTCCTCCGACCCTGAAGAAGACCCAGCTAGACCCGGCTCATGGCTTCCGGCTAGGTCCCTCACAAAGCGGACGCTCGCGTCACTGTAGGAGACACCGAGCTGAGCCTGCGTCTCTGTGGGAGGAAGCTCATGGAGCTTGGAGTCCTTAGTCGGATTCCAGCGGGCACTGGGACCCAGCCAGCTGCACTCAGGGGCAGCCTGAGGCATAGACAGGGTGGGGGTGGGGCGGGGCTGCTGCAGGCAGATGGGCTGTCGCCCCAAGTGAGTGTGCTCTGCAGGAGCAGGGTGGGGGGTGGGCCTGGAGTGGCAGCTGGGTGGCCAGGGCCCGCCCTTTACCCCTGTGCCTGAGGCAAGGCAGCTTGCCAGCCTGGGCACCACACTGGGAGGATGTGGGCTGCAGGCACCCCGGCCCAGCCCACACCCTGCCTGCAGGCCCCTGACCCGCACCTGCTTTGCAGTCCCACCTGTTCGTGCTGCAGCTGGTGCACCGGCCAGCGGTCCGCTCGGTGCTGCAGGGCCTCCTCAAGAAGCGGTTGCTGCCTGCCGAGCACTGTGTCACCAAGAGTGAGTGACCTGCCCACCCCTGCCCCTGGCAGGACCCCTGGCAGACGAGTTTCTCCCCTGGATGGAGGCTCCAAGCAGGGGCAGCGGTCAGCCCCAGACAGCTCCTGGGAATTGCCGCATCCGGTCACGACCCCGCTCTCAGTTCTCTCCCTGTTGCCTCCAGTAAAGCGGAACTTCAGCAGCGGCACCATCCCTGGCACCCCTGGGCCCAACGGAGAGGATGGGGTGGAGCAGACGGCCATCAAGGTGTCCCTCAAGTGCCCCGTCACCTTCCGCAGGATCCAGCTCCCTGCCCGAGGCCATGACTGTCGCCACATACAGGTGGGTGGTCTCCAGGCTCTTCTGGAACATCTCCATCTGATTCTCTCTAGCCAAGCTCAGCACCTGGGCTGGCAGGTGACAGGACAGACAGCCATTGGGCAGGTGGCCTGGTTTTCCCTGTTCCCCTCAGGCTGGCTTCTGTGTCTTCAAGCATAGTAGCCTGACTGCGTTCAGGGCCCCCAGTGCTGACCACATCGGGGATGCAGGGTGCGGCCTCTCCTGTGTCCCCAGGAGTGCCGTGCGGGCTCCCTGTGCAGAAACTGGACAGCTGCGCCCGCTGCCTTCGTGGCCACATAAGTGCACAGTGGCCCAGCCCTGGCTTTGGCCCCTGGTGGTCTAGTCCCGTGAGGCCGCATGGCTGTCCCCGCCTGCCCGGCGGCACAATGGTGCAGTGGAGCCTGCTGCACGCAGCTCCTCAGACGCGAGGGGATGCGCCTTGTTCCCGGAGTGCTTGGCTGGCACTGCCCAGCATGAGAAATGGTCTCCCTGTCCACAGTGCTTCGACCTGGAGTCCTACCTGCAGCTCAACTGTGAGCGGGGGACCTGGAGGTGCCCCGTGTGCAAGTGAGTGTCCCAGAGACAGTCCTCGTGCGGCGCTGGGGGCAGGGGGGCTTCTTCACAGGCCGTCGAGAAACACCGAGGTGCCCGGTCGGTGGGGCTCAGTGAGTGAGTGCGGACCCTGCACCAGGAGGTCACCTGTTCAATTCCTGGTCAGGACACATGCCCAAGTTGTGATCCCCAGTGGGGGACATGCAGGAGGCAGCCAGTCGATGTTCTCTCTCATCGATGTTTCCATCTCTCCCTCCCTCTCCCTTCCTCTCTCTAAAATCAATCAATAAAGAAAGAAAGGAAGAAGGGAGGGAGGAAGAAAGGAAGGAAAAGGAAGGAAGGGATCTTAAAAAAACAAAAAGAAACAACAAGCCACCTGTGAGGGTCACAGCACAGACTACAGACACGGCTGGTAGCTCAGGGTGGACACCTCACACAGGTCACCTCATGGGGCGGCCTCAAGCAGAGGATGGAGCTGAGAAGTGACAGGGAGAGGTTGGCCAGGCTCTGAGCCACATCCCCTTGGTTTTCTGCAGCAAGACAGCCCTGCTGGAGGGCCTGGAGGTGGACCAGTACATGCTGGGCATCCTCATCTACATTCAGAAGTGAGTCTTCCCTGCAGCCTCCGGCCTCTGTGGCCAGCAGAGGGCAGCCCTGGAGCCGGTGGGGTGGTTCCCTTGGAGATCACTGGGTTCCAGGCCACGGGGAATCTGCCTCTACCCTGGGGCCGGAGATGCGGCAGGGCAGGTGGTGACCAGCCCGTGTCCCCGCCCAGCTCTGACTACGAGGAGATCACCATCGACCCCTCGTGCAGCTGGAAGCCGGTGCCTGTGAAGCCAGACGTGCACGTCAAGGAGGAGCCAGATGGGCCGGTGCTGAAACGCTGCCGCACCGTGAGCCCCGCACACGCGCTCCTGCCCAGTGTGATGGAGATGATAGCTGCCCTGGGCCCAGGGGCGGCCCCCTTCACCCCCTTGCAGCCCCCCTCAGCCCCAGCCCCCAGCGACTACCCCAGCCAGGGTGAGTACCGTGCCTGGTCTGCAGACACAGATGACCCTGGGCAAATGACCATCCTCTCCAGACCAGTCAGCTACCTGTGCGGGTGTTGCTGCATGGGCCACACCTGGGTGGGGGCTGGTCGAGGACATGGCAGTGCAGATGCAGCCTCTTCTGAGCCAGTGGGGAGAGGCAGCAGGCCCTCAGCCCGAGCAGCCCCCACCTCCTGGCAGGTCACACAAGGGGCCGTCTGCTGGCACACATCCAGACGCCCGTCTGGCCTGCGTGGCGTGGCAGGCCCCACTCCTGTCCCTCCTGGCCTATGAGTTCCCTGGCGGGATGAGAGCCAAGGCCTCTTCTGAACAGCAACTTCCCTAAACTCCAGCGGTGCCTGTGGGTGCTGCAGGCCCTGTCCTCCTGAGGCCCCCCAGGACCTGCCTCTCCTCTCTCAGGTTCCAGCTTCCTGGGACCCGGGACCTTCCCCGACTCCTTCCCATCCACCACACCCAGCACGCCAACCCTTCCTGAGTTTACCCCGGGGCCACCCCCCATCTCCTACCAGTCCGACATTCCCAGCAGCCTCCTGACACCAGAGAAGTCTACACCCAGCCTCCCAGGCCAGGTCAGTGCCAGGCTGAGGGGGCCGAGGGGTTGTCTCCCACGGGGGCCCTGGCCGCTTTACCAGGTCCTTCTCTCCTTCCTCAGATGGCACCTGCAGGTCACCTGGACCCGGCTCACAACCCTGGGCCACCCAGTCTGCACACCCCCAACCTTGGAGGCCCCCCAGGGCCCCAGCTGCACCACCCTAACCCTCCCCCAGCGACCCGGCAGGCCCTGGGCCCAGTGAGCTCAGGCCCCGTTGGCGAGCTGGCCTTTCACGCTGCCACAGGCACAGTGGGGCCCCCCATGTCTGGGGCAGGGGAGGCCCCAGAACATGCCCTGGATGTGAGTACCGCACCCACAGCTGGGGAGCACGTGGGTGCCTGGCTGGGAACTGATTGTCTGTTGTCCTTGGGGCCACACGCTTACACCTCAGTGATTTCCAAGCAAAGGCGAAGCCCTGGGACCTGAGCGTCGTGGTGGCATGTACAGGGTTCCTAAGAAGAAGGGCTCACCAGCCTTGGGGTCTGATGTGAGCTGTCCATCACAGGTGGTGTGTGAGCCAAAATCAATGTGTAAAGACTGTCCCTCAGCCATAATAAAAGAAACTCAAGCCCAACGTGGAAAGAAAAACTAGAGCAGTTCAAAGCAGGAAATCCTGGGGACTGGGGTCCTGTCTCTTGCATCGCCCTGTTCACATTGGTCCCCTCCAAGTCCTGTGTGCGCCCTGTTCCCGGAGCAGGCCGGCGCTGTGGTCCGTGATTCCCGCACTGAGGCTCCAGCGCCAGCCTGGTCCGGGAGGGGGCGCTGCATGTCAGCCCGCCCTGACCTGGCGAGGCGCGGGCACAGGGTGGCCACGTGGGGGTGAGGCGGGTCTGAGGCCAGTTTGCTTTCGTCCTCAGCTGCTCCCAGAACTGACCAACCCGGATGAGCTGCTGTCCTACCTGGGCCCTCCTGACCTCCCCACGAACAGCAACGATGACCTGCTCTCTCTCTTCGAGAATAACTGAACGCGTTGGCCCTGCCCACAGGCGGGACATGCCAGATGCCCCCGCCCTCCAGCCCAGTCCCGACACCAGCCCTCATGCCCTCCCCCTCCCCAAGGCACACCTGGATCCGCCCTTCCCGAAGCTGGGAGCAGCCCTGCGCTGGCTGGGAGGGGCCCGCGCAGTGCCGCGCCCTGCCCTGCCCTCGCCCAGCCGGCTGCTGCAGGGGGTTTCAGGGGACCGGCTCTGCCCACCTCGCCAAGCCCCGCCCCTCCTGCGGGCGCCCCGCGCCCTGCCCTCTGCCACTGCACACACATCACGCAGGTCCCGCCCACCGGAGCCGACCCGCCCTGCCTGCCCCCGCAGCCCAGAGGAGCTCACTCGGTTCCGCAGGTCCCGCACCCCGCACCCCACCCCCCAGCTGCGGGCACGTGGAGCCGGGCTGTGGGCTGAGGTGCTGACCCTGGCCCCGTCCCGCACTGACCGGCACCCCATGCACCTCCAGTGAGCGGCGGCGGCCTCCTCGTCCTCGCTTCCTACCCCACGCCCCTTGCCGAGAACATGCAGCCCCTCCGCGTTTTTACAGTCGCCTCCCGTGTCCCCTGGCCGGGCCGAGTGGGGCGCCCCGCCTGCCCGTCTCCATTAAAGGACTCCCACGGTGGCCCGCGGTCCTCCTTGCGCGCCGCTCCCAACCCCGGCCCGCCCCACCCGCGGGGTATTTACTGTCCCTGGAATTTTCCAAGTTGGCTGCGGCTTGAGAGCTGTTCTGCTGTTTGGCGTAGTGTCTCTCACAGAGCCGGGAGACACCTCTGCCACCTCGTCCCCTCTTCGCGTGGAAGTGCTGGTCAGGGAACCTGGCCTGGGGTGGGCCCTCTGGCCGCCTGGTGGGCCCGACCTTCCTGTCCAGCGGGGGTCTGTCTGGCCTCACGCTGGCAGAGCAAGGACGTGCCCGCCCTTGCCTGTTGATATTTTGGATCCCAGCTTGTCCTACTGCAGCTTTTGTTTCCAGCTTGTCTGGCTGCTGGGGGTGAGTGGGTACCGCCAGCACCACAGGGGACACCTGAAGTCCAGGCCAGGGGCCAGAAGCCCAGCCCAGGGATGAGCAAGGCGGCCAGGCAGGGACAGGCCCAGCACAATGCTTATCAGCAGGCCCTGCCACCTGTGGCCTTTGGGGTTGGGATGCTGGGCCGAGCATGGTCTCCCGGCATCAGTGCAGCCCAGCATGCTGCTCTGCGGGTGCTCCTTGGGGTCAGGAGGAGATGAGCACAAGGCTGCAAGCTACTCGGAGTCTTCAGGCAGGAGTGTACCTAAAGGACTGAGCAGTGACTGTGGAGGTGTCAGGCAGTGGAATGGGGACTGTGGCCCTGACATCACCATGGACCCCTCTCAAACAATGTGGGACACAGGCAGGGTGTGGGCTTTTTAGTAAATGCCATCAAAAAGCCCAATACCAACTGCATTGCATGGAGTTCTTACATCTGCTTCCCCATGGGGACAGGGTGGGGTGTGGGGAAGAGCAGTGGTGGTGGTGGTGACGGCCCTAGCAGGGTGGTGGCTGTATGGGGTTTCACCTTAGTGTGCGTCATGTGTCATGCATCCTTATGCCTGTACCAGCCATTACACAATTAAACAAAGCCAGGTCTAGAACACCACCCAGCAACACAGTGCACTTCTCCATGACAGAGCACGTGGCAGGCTTTGAAACAAGTCCCAGTGAGTTAAACCGAAATCATGCAAAGTGATTCTCTGACAGTGAGATGAAGCTAGATGCCAATAATGGGGGGGGGGGGGGAATGTCACAAACACGTGGAAATTAACCAACAGCCAAAGGATCAAAGAAGAAATCACAGTGACAAGATATTTTGAGAGGAGTGAAAACAAAACATACAGAACAGTGAGATGTGTGAGACTCCTGCTAGAGGGAAACCTACAGCTGCAAATGTCTACATTTAACGGAAAAGTCTCCCCTTGGCCGGTTTGGCTCAGCAGTAGAGCATCAGCTGGAGGACCAATGAGTCTTGGGTTCAATTCCGGCCAAGGACACGTGCCTCGGTTGCTGTTCATCCCTGGCCCTGATCAGGGTCATGTGGGAGGCAACCAGTCAATGTATCCCTCTCACATCGATGTCTCTCTCCCTCTCCCACTCTATCTGAAGATAAATGGAAAAAATATTCTCATGTGAGGGTTAAAAAAAAATACAAAACAGTGAAATGTGTGAGAACACTGCTAAAGAGAAATCTATAGCTGTAAACATCTACATTTATTTTTTTTAATTCTCACCCGAGGACATTTTTCCATATTTTGTTCAGATAGAGTGGGAGGGAGAGAGAGAAACATCGATGTGAAAGGGACACATCGAGTGGCTGCCACCCACACGACCCAACCAGGGCGAGGGAGAAACTGCAACTGAGGTACGTCCCCTTAGCAGGAACCGAACCCGGGTCTCTCTGGACTGCAGGCCCACGCTCTAACCGCCAAGCCAAAACAGCCAGGGCTAAACGTCTACATTTAAAGAAAAGGTCTCGAGGTCTTGCCCTGGCTGGTTTGGCTCAGTGGTTAGAGTGTTAGCCCACAGACCAATGAATCACGGGTTTGATTCTGATCAAGGGCCTTGGTTGCAATTCGTCCCTGGCCCAGGTTGGGATCATCCACTCAATGTGTCCTTTTCACGTTGATGTTTTTCTCTTTTCTTCCTCTCCCTCCCTTCCATTCTATCTGAACAAAAATGGGAAAATGTCCTCAGGTGAGGATAAAAAAAGTCTCGAATAATCTAACTCGAAGGAAGTAGAAAAGAAACACACTAAATACAAAGCTAGTAGAGAGGAAATCACGAGGGAGCAGAGGCGAACTAGAGACCAGAAAGACAATAGTCAACATAAGCACAAGTGCTTCTTTGAGAAGCAACAAAATGAGAGAAGCTTTGGTCAGACCAAGAGGCACATACGACAAATTAGAAATGAAAGTGGGGGGACTGCTACCGGGCTTCGAGAAGTAAGGATGAGGGGATACTAGAACTGTGTGCCAATAAATCAGATCACTGAATTGAACAAATCCCTGGAAACATGCAGAACACCCACAGGGAGCAAGAGTGAGTCAGATGCCCTCCCCCATCACTGCAGAAACGCTCAGGTCCAGACAGCTCAGGGGTGAATTCTACCAAAATTTTAAAGAACACCAATGTTTCTTGCAATTCCAAACCTGGGGTGACCTGTCCTGACTCCCAGGGTGGGAAAGGGGGTGCTGAAGTGAAGCTGCTTCACCCCCCCCCCCCCCCGTATTTTCTCCTGGGCTGATTGACGGAAGAGGATGGGGGACTGCAGAGCTGGCCAGTCATAGGGTCTGGGCCCTGTGAGGATTTAACCACCCCAGGGGACACACTGCAGGGCCAGGCTCCGGTTGGCTCTCATCACCCACCTGTGGGGTTGTAACCTTGTTTATACATCCATTCAAGTCACTTTAAGAGCTTGGATGTTGCAGGTGCTATGACTCTGGGAGAGGTAATGCATTTCCCACCTTGACAACAGGTGAGCTTTACTAGTGGAGAAGAGCAGGGTTAGGGGGGTATGCCCTGCCCAGGCAGGAGGTGAGCCCTGGAAACACAGGGCGGGGTAAGAGAGATTCCATGTGGTGGGAGAAATGTTCACCCAGAGCCGGCAGAGCCAGCCAGCTGGTGCCAGACAGTGAGGGGGCTGTTTGCGTCCTGTACTGTGAGCCTGGCCTAGGAGGACTCCAACGAGGCTGTATAGTATGGGAGCAACAAAATCAGATGGTTTTGAGAATGACCACTCTGGAAATACCTGGGAAAGCCAAGGGCCCAGTAACCAGTGAAGAGGCTGCCAAGCTGGAGCTGTAGCAGTAGGGACAGAGGAGAGAGGTGGGGAGGGAGGAGCCCTGAGGAGGGGCTTGGTTTACAAATCACCTGAGAATCTGAGCCAGGGGAATGGATGAGGTTCACCAGGGCACGTGTGTAAGGGACAAAAAAGGTCAACTGTGCAACTCAGACACATGAGAAATCAGTGGAACAGTTCAAGGGGAAAAGTTGGAGAAATGGCAGAGAAAAGTCAAGGCCATGGAGAAAGCTGTGGAAGCAGGAAGTGGTACACGGGCGTGATGGAGGGGAAACACCACCTGGAAGACGCCCGGGTCTGTGGACTGTGATGTCACTGGTTGTCCCAGCAGGGGCCGCTTCCATCTGGTTGTGAGCAGAAGCAAGAGGCCAGAAGAACCAAGCTAGGCCGTAAGGAGACGAGCCAGGTTGCCCTCACTCACAGGAGTGTTTTTATTTGGATAACCTGCTTAATTTCCTGTGGCATTCTCTCTTGCTCGGAGACATTTCTGAGATGAATGTTCGTGTACACTATGCTGCGTGAACAGGTACCGAGTCTCTGCGCGCGGGCATGGAACACCTGCTAGCCAGGTCAGGGCTCTGCTGAATTCGATTTTGGTCTGAATAGTCCAAATAAGACACAGACGGCCCCACATTCTGGAGGTTCTGCGCCTGCTGATATCTTCCTCAGTTGGGAAGTCCAGGTCAACAACAGACGATGCCAGTTAAAGACCCGCTACCACTTTTGCTCGCCCTTAACAAACAAAACACCTTCACGTCCGCTTTGAGTGTGGACACCGTGTGCCCGTGTGGATACAGTGAGCAGACCTAGGGCCAGGCTGTGACAAGGCTGATGGTGAAGAGGAGGCAGGACTTTCAACACCAGTGTCTTTAGGCATTTCTGCATTCATTCATTCGTTCGTTCATCCACGGGGGCGGCCCTAACTGCTCTCAGGCTCAAAGTGGACGGGAGAAGTTGAAGGAATTTATGCCTGAGGGCCTGGCTCCTGTCGTGTCAGGTGAGGGCAAGCAGCTTCCTCAAGGTCACAGAGCCCCTTTCCGGGGCTGGCTCTGCTGACCCTGGCGCAAGCCTGCGGGACGGGGCGCCGACTGCCCGCACCTGTGAGTGGGCACAACGGGAGGTTGTGAGAACGGAACCACACTCAGGTTCTCGCACCCTTAGGACCCTCCATGCCCAGGATTCCCGTGCGCTCCTGCAGCCGGTCCTGGTCTTGGAGACGAAGAAACTGAGCTGGAGACACTCGGTAACACTCCGAACACTGCAACGGAGTGGCCGCGGAGGTTACATAAATCTTCCCCGTTTCCAGGTTTTCTGGACAGAACACGGGCCCAGGCGACACTTGGCATCAGCACTGAACGTGAAGGTCTCGGCCCGCGGGGTTCGCGGCGTGGCCGCCGTGTCTCGCGGCAGAAGCCCGCACACCTCGGGGCGCGGGGCAGAGACGGGCAGGGCAGGAGGTGCAGCGTCGCCGCCCGGCTGCCGCGGCAGCGCCTTCGTCCTGCGGGCGCAGGCGGGGCGAGCGCGGTATTTTCGGAAAGTAGGGCATTTTGGAAGCATGTCGTAACCGCTCGGGCGGGAGCGGCTGCGCCTCTGCAGCGCGAGGACCGCGCTGCCCCAGGCCACCTGGGCTCCGGGCGGCGGGGCCGGCCGGGCGACCTTAGCGCGCCGCGCGACCTTGAGGCCTGCGTTCGCCTCAGTCGCCCCCTCTGCGCAGTGGGGTGACGCCCGGAGTGGGGGCGGCCGCTCAACCGCAGCGCCCCCTCGAGCTCCCACCGGCCACCC